GGGTGAGGGGTGGATGGTGGGTGGTGCTGTGTGCTGAGATGGGAGGATTGTTGGAACCTCAGGAGGTTGGAGGCTGTGGTAACCTGTGATCACACCACTGTGCTCCAGCCTGTACAGAGCAAGACCCTGTCTCAAAAAAAAAAAGACTGATTTCGGAGGTGATGGTGTACATCCTAGTTGATTATTACCCTCTGCATGCATTTAAAAAAAAGAAGAAAGAAAAGGAGTCCTATGAAGTAAAGTTGAAAGACATTTCTTTAGCTGTTTAGAGACTGTATGTAAAGGAGAGTTAAGGTCTTATACTATGGTAAGCACTTTAGAGAGCATTTTGGCAGTGTGGAGAAGATGAACTTTTACATAGGTACTTGCCTGGTAATTCATCCCTAAGTATATATCCTTAGAAACTCATATACGTACACATGGAGACCAAGAACAAACATGTCAATACAACTTTGTTAATAATAGTGAAAATTAGAAGGTATATCCATAATAAACAAATGCATTCATAATGATGTTTTCATTGGAATATGAGAACATCATTTAAAATAAAATGTTAAATGGGATAATTCTTAGGGAAAAGTTGAGTTAAAACTCATTGCAAAAGAGTAAGTACACTATGATATTTGTGTAAATTAAAAATAGAAAACAGTTGTATAGTTTATAGATATTTGTATATCTAGTAAAATGGTGAAAACCTGTGTGAAAGTTACATATACCTGTTTCAGAAAAGTACTAACCTCTTAAGAGGGAGGGAAGGGAATGAAATTGAAGGCATGGGTCTTCAATGGAGTCTGTAATGTTTTGATGATATATAAGATCTGATGTGAGTATATGAACTTGTTTAATCTGGGCAATGGGTAAGAGGATATGTATTGCTTTCTGGTGTGTTTAGAAGTATTTTGTTTTTTTAAAAAGCCAAAACTTTGGTATACCAGATTACCATTTAAAATACAGATGCCAGCTGAATATGACTAGCTATAGTTTTAGTATGCTGCAATAAAACCAAAACTACTGGTTCCACTGCCTATTTGCTTTTATTATTTTGACTTAATATTCTAATGTACCTGTGGGCATTAGGCTTTAATAAATTCTCCCATGCTAGTGAAAACATGTATTATGTTTTTAGATTTGGTAACTAGTTAATGGGAGGAGTAAGGGTGAGAAATTTAAACTATGTAAGCTTAATGAAATGCGTTAACCATAACTTTTCCTCCAAATTTTCAAATTAGAGTTTGCGAGATGGCAGTACCTTAATATGATGTAATTATTTTTTTTTTCCAGCGTTTTATTCAGTATTTGGCTTCAAGAAACACGTTGTTTAACTTAAGCAATTTTTTGGATAAAAGTGGATTGCAAGGTAAAGATAATTTTTTCATTATAGAAAATCAAAAGAATGACACCCACATTATTACTTAACTCCAAAGTTGAACTCTGTCTTTTAGAACATGTGCTACTTTAAACCTTGTATTTTAGTGAAGGTTGTAGGAAAGAAAAGACTGTCTTTTAATTTGTAGGTTAATATTAATTTTCCTACTAGATACTTAGAGCCCTTTGAGAGTTAGTATAGCTTAGTTATTTGAGAGCGTGAATTCTGGAGCTGGACTGTCTGGGTTTGAATCTCATCTTTGCCACTTACCAGCTATAGAAACTTGAGCAAGTTACTTCACCTCTGCATCTGTAGAATTCAGTAATAATGATAGTACCTACCCAATAATATTGACGTGGGACTTAACCTAGTTAATTACTACAAAGTGCTTAGAACAGTGCCTGGAACAAAAGAAATGCTATATAAGGCCGGGCACAGTGGCTCATGCCTGTAATCCCAGCACTTTTGGAGGCTGAGATAGGTGGATGACTTGAGGTCAAGAGTTTGAGACCAGCCTGGCCAACATGGTGAAACCCTGTCTCTACTGAAAATATAAAAATTAGCTGGGATTGGTGGTATACGCCTGTAATCCTAGCTACTCGGGAGGCTGAGGCAGGAGAATCTCTTGAACCCAGGAGGCGAAGGTTGCAGTGAGCTAGGATCATGCCACAGGACTCCAGCCTGGGCAGCAAAGCTAGACTCTGACACACACACAGATACATACACACACACACAGAGAGAGAGAGAGAGAGAGCGCGAGAGAGAGAGAAAGTGCTGTGTAGATATTTGCTTTCATTATTGTATTATTTTGTGTTTCATTCCAAGAAATGTAGTTGGAATATTACAGGTTTTAGTAGCTAAGGCAAATATAATGTAATTTACTGAGATGAAATGTTCATTCATATCCATAGCTGTAGTTTTTTTTGACAGTCTTGCTGTGTTGACAGGCTGGAGTGCAGTGGCGCTGTCTCGACTCACTGCAACCTCCGCCTCCCGAGTTCAAGTGATTCTCCTGCCTCAGTCTCCCAAGTAACTGGGACTACAGGTGTGCACCACCATGCCCAGCTAATTTTTGTAGTTTAGTAGAGGCAGGGTTTCACCATGTTGGCCAGGATGGTATGGATTTCTTGACCCTGTGGTCTGCCTGCCTTGGCCTCCCAAAGTGCTGGGATTACAGGCGTCAGCCACCGTACCTGACGTGTTTTTATTTAGTAACTTGAAATGGACATAATGTGGTTATAGCTGTCCATGCACATTGTCTTAATGGAATCTCTTTTACTTAGTTCTATAACTAGGCTTCTAGCATTATAGAATGTCAGCTTCAGGGAGAACTTGAAAGGATATGCCAAATGAGTTGGGAATATTCAACAGTGAGGCAGGCTCAGTCAGGGAAATATATTTAGAGACGATGAGGTTTGTGCTGGGCTTCAAGAGAAGGTTGAGAAGATGAGTTGGCTTAGGCACAAGTGCCCAGGAACAATACATGGATGTGAAAGTAAGCACAGATACACAGATGTGAAAGTCGTTCCCATGGTTATGAATATTTAAGATTTATAGAGCAAATGAATATGAATAGAATATATATGAATTGTGTTGGAGAACATGTAGTGGCACATAGCCCCTCAAGAAGGCGTTCAGAGCCAAATTCAAGCACAAAAAATTTTTATAGAATTGGGATTTTATAATGCAGTAGAGAGAGGAGAGGAGAGGGGATTATGTGTTATAAGGAAAGCATCATAGCTTAGTCAAGTTAGATCAGAGTAGACCAAATCTTGAAGATGCTGAAACTGTTTCAGTTGTTGTTCTGCTTATCTAGAAATATCTGGACAGTTAATGAGGGACTGAGCTGTGGTTGTTCTGGAGGCCTGAAAAAAAGAAAAGATTTGTGGAATTTTAAATTAATTAAGTAATTAATTTTTTTTTTGGGTGACTGGCTGTATTTGAGTTTGGAGCTGTTCAGTCCAATACTTGTTTCTCTTTGGCAAGTGAAAGTATTGCTTAAATTAATTTAATATTCTATCTTCCAGACAGTCTAGAAGACCAGTAATCTGTACGTAGGACCCAGTGTTACAAAATGCATTATAGTTTAACAAGAGTTACAGTGCTCTAACCTAAGGGAAAAAAAATTAAAACCATAGACCCCGTCGCTTGGATTTTTTTTTTTTTTTTTTTTTTTTGAGACAGAATGTGGTTCTGTTGCTGAGGCAGGACTGAAAGAGACCAGCTTGCTCTGTCACCTAGGCTGGGTACAGTGGTATGATCATAATTCACTGCAGCCTTGAACTCCTGGCTCAAACAGTCCTCCCTTCAGCCTCCCAAGTAGCTGGGATTACAGATGTGCACCAGCATGCCTGGCTAATTTTTTTATTCTTTAATTTTTTTGTAGGGATGGGTTCTTGCTCTGTTGCCCAGGCTGTTCTTGAACTCTTGGCCTAAAGCGATCCTCCTCAGCCTCCCAAAGTGCTGGGATTACAGGCATAAGCCAACACACCTGGCCTCTTCTATATCTTAAACAGCGAAGCCAGATATATATTATAGATAAAAATGGAGTATCTTTATTTTCAGAGTCATGGAAGAAACTATCTGCTCACCATTTATTTTCACTTCCTCCTTCATTCAGTTCATTTTAACTTTAAAGGCAGAGTCTATGCATATATCCAAGTGGGTTTTTTGTGTTTTATCAGCAGCTGATTTCTCCTTTTCTTAAGATGGAAATTAAGCAATTATAGTGATAAGGTTTTAAGAATTTCATTCTTCTTATGTAGAGGAGAGGTTGAGCCTTGAAGGAGGAGAGGTGTTTGCCCTCTCATGATGGGGTCTAGTAGGTGGAACCATGTGAACCAAAGAGCTGAGGAATGTAAGCATATAACACCTGTACAGTAGTAGATATAAAGCCATATGAAAGCATTAATTTTTTTTGTATTTTGTTCACTGATTTTTCTCCACTGGTACTTAATAGGCACTCTAAATATTTGCTAAATAAATGAATTGATGATGTTAAAATCCAGTTAGTTTACATTTTGGGTGGTTTTGGTATTTTAAAAGTATCAAAGATCACCAAGTAATTAAATTTGTTAGATGAATATGAGTTAAAATAAAATGGGTCCACTTTTCATTGAGGAGCAAAAATTACTATAGACTTCCTTGAACCAGGCAATAACTAAAACACAAAGAGTTTGGTGTTTAAAAAAAAACTAATATTGATTAGATGTTATGTTACAGAAGTTTTCAAAGCAGGGTCATGATGAAACAAAATCTTAAAATGATTTATGTATTTATTTAGAAAGTTATATTGAAAACATTCATATAATTGTTTTTTGTTCACCTTAAACTTGCATATTGTCATTTCTTCTATTATACTAAGCAGTAATTTTCTGTACTTTTTATAAGGTTGGCACATATAAGTTATGGTTCTAAATACAGCTAAAGATTTCAGGAGTATCAAAATTATATAAAGTTACTTGATTTGAGGAATGGGATTGTGGTTCCACAGGATGTTAAATTTGAGTAGTGAGATTATCAAGTTGTATAAGAGAACATATTTTTCCAATTCCTGATGAATAAAGAATAGGAATATTGAGAGAAACAAAAAAAGCTTCTTATTTTAGTGAAGTTCTAAGGGAAGTGGTTTTTTTTAAAGCTGTATAGGACATTCCTGACTTAAATATGAAATTTTAAGAGAATTTAATGGCAGTGTCATTCATTAGCTGCTTAATTTACATCACTAAATTGAATTGTGGTATCAAGACATTATAGTCATTGGATACAATGACTTGTTTTCGTAGGCATATTGGGATTTTAATCATTTATAAAAGCTTTCTTTTTTTTTTTTTTTTTGTTTTACAGGATATGACATGTCTACATTTATTAGGCGGTATAGTAGATATTTAAATGAAAAAGCAGTTTCGTACAGACAAGTTGCATTTGATTTCACAAAAGTGAAGAGAGGGTGAGTTAAGCTTTTTTTGTATCTAATTGATTTGAATTTTTAAAAAGGTAAAACATAGAAGTTATTAGATTATAAATTACAAAATTTTAGCCAGTTTTAAAAGATGAACCTCATTTTTCTTTGATGAGGTGTATCAGGTACTCTCTGTGGTAGGATTTGTTTTTAAGTTCTTTTTATAGTGTCTTTATTGAGATATAATTCACATAACAAAATTTATTCTTTTAAAGTGTATAATTCAGTAGTTTTTAGTGTATTTACAAAGTTGTTCAACATCGCCACTATCTAATTTCAGAACATTTTTATCACCTCCGGAAAGAAACCCTATACCTGTTAGCATTCATTTTCTATTCCCTCTTCCCATAGATCCTGGCTCTGGGCTTACCTATTCTGAAAACTTCATATAAATGAAATTATACAATATGTGGCCTTTGTGATGCATAATATGTCCACATTATAGCATCCATGTTATATCATATATCAGTACTTTATTCCTTTTTCTAGCCAGATAATATTTTACTATATGGACATATACTGCATTTTGTTTATCTGTTCACCAGCTGATGGCCATTTGAATAGTTTCTACTTTTGACTTAGGAATAATGGTGCTGTGAATATTAGATTTTATGTGGATTATCTTTTTAATTCTCTTAAGTACGTACCTAGAAGTGGAATTGCTGGGTCATATGGTAACTTTTATGTTTAGCATTTTGAGGAACTGCCAAATCATTTTTCAAAGCAGTTGAATGATTTTAGATTCCCACCAGCCATGTATGGCACTTTCAGTTTTTCACTATTCTGTCCATACTTGTTATTTTCTGTTTTTTTTTTTTTTTTTTTTTTTTTTTTTTTTTTTTTTTTTTTTTTTTTTTTTTTTTTTTTTTTTTCTATAGTGGCTGCACCATTTTACATAGCTACCAGTGGTGTATAAGGACTTCAGTTTTTCAGTATGCTTGGCAACACAAGTTAGCTGACTTTAAATTATAGCCATCCTAATAGGTGTGAAGTAGTGTCTTCTGATTTTTAGTTTGCATTTCCCTGATGACTAATGATATTGAGCATGTTTTTATGTGCTGTTGACCATTTGTATGTAGTCTTTCAAAAAAATGCCTCTTCAAACTCTCTGCTCTGTTTTTGTTTTTTATTTTCACTTTTTTGAGACAGGGTCTCCCTTTGTCACCCAGCCTGGTAGAGTACAGTGGCACATTCCCAGCTCACTGCAGTGTTGACCTCCTGTGCTCAAGCAATCTTTCCCCCTCATCCTCCTTCCTTTCTAAATACCATACTTATTTTATTAATTGTCTTTTGATGTCCATTGCCAGCTTCTCTATTGGGTTTTTCACTCTTTTCTATTGTGTTAGATAGTGGTAAGAACTCAAAAGCTTTTTCAGTCAGATGAATCTAGGTTTGAATTCTACCTTCATACCAGTCAGATGAGGGACTTTAATAAGATGCGTTAGCTAGCTTACTGACTTTTAAAAAATAATGTTATTTTGAAATAATATCACTTCCAGAAATGTTGCAAGAATATTAGAAAGAACTTCTGTATACTTTACTCAGAACCACCAGTTTTTAACATTTTGCCACATTTGCATTCTCTGCGTATATTCACACAGGTGCACACACACATTTTTTTCTGAACTATTTGAGAGTGGGTTACATACCTGATGCCTTATATAGTTTATATCTTTTACTACTTCGGTGATTTTTTCTAAAACCAAGGATATTTTGTTAGGTATTCATCAGCTTGCTAACTTCTTTCACATGGTAGCACACAAACTATTTTATACAAGAGACGACTTGAGGCTAAAGGGTTAAAAAGGATCAACATCTTGGCACACTTATATCCCCTTCTACCATGCTATTATGCTGTGGTGAAACTGGGAAGGCCTTACTTAAACTCTGAGTTATTTCATCCGTAAAATGAAGTTTTAATTAGTACTTTTCTGTCAGGATTGTTGTGAGAATTAAATGGGATATTGTGTGTAATGCTTAGCACATAGCAAACACTCAACAAATGAACTTTTTGTGTATTAGGAAAATAAATTATTACAGGTTATGAGCGTTTTCTCTGTTTTTTTTTTTTTTTTTTNTTTTTTCCCCAGCCATTGTTAAAAGCAATACAATCTTAGGTGATCAAAATCGTTATCTATTTTTATGTTTTTATCTTTCAGGCAAGCTCAGAGTGAGCTAAAATGATTAATTATCATGTTTTCATCAGATAGATTTATGAATTCAGTGTTTTATATTTTAATGTTGGATTCATTTGAAATCTACCATGGTAGGAAAAACATGAGGTAGATGCCAACCATTTTTAAATAGAAACATAGTTTGGGCGGCAAGAAGACCAGACAATCTCTTTCTGTTATTTTCTGTTCCAGAATGAAATATTTTGGGAGTTATAAGCTGAGAGCTTACATGTTTCATGTAGGGATACAAGCATAGGATTTGAGGATACTTAGGAGAGGAGTTTGTTAGAGAAGGCTAAGAGGATCGCTGGCAATGTTGAGTATCCATTTGAGGTTGATGATCATGAATTCATAGTTTTACCATTTTGCCCAGTTGTACCTTTTTCTTTACTAGCACTCAGCTATGTGTGTACAGGTATGGATGAGTTAGGTGTTTGCTCAGCCAGGATTGTGTATTTGCCAGATGACTGAAATGCAGGGAAGAAAAGAGGTACAAGAAAGTTAAAGGTATTTGTAAGGGACTGATTATAATAATGATCTGTGGAATTCTAAACTAGATGAAGAAAGTAAAAATGAGAAAGGATCAATGTGGATAGTGATAGAGTTGAAACATTGACATTTCTGATGAGGTCAAATATTTTTTACCACAGGGATATGTGACCAAAGCAACTGAAAGGTTAAAAGGTAATTGTCACAGAATAAGGTGTCTGAATTTCACCTTCCCCCCGGCCCCCATTCAGGGGTGAGGGATAGGATGCTCTGGTTTCTGGGCAGTAGGGTTAGGATCAGGGCTTTTGACATCAAGATGTTGGATTGGTTGTCCAAGTAGATGTGGAAGTTAATCAAGACACGAAAGACTGAGCCAATGTTCAAATCTTCTGTGATGGAGAAGTAACCAGAGGTCAAAAAATTACTTACGTAAGAAGAGTTGCAAAAGAAGGGCTGGTGTACTCATCCCAAGCTCCAGCGGCTTGTTACAGCTAATGCTGTTTAGCACTTCAGAGGAAATAGGCATCCATAGGTTAACACATTAGGGAGAGTTAGACCAAAGTTGGTCAATAGGTGACTACTTAAGGCGGCCCAGTATTTGTTGTTTAAACTTTGTTGTGTCCTGCAAAGCACTATTGTTGCTTTTTATAGCTTAAGACTGTCCACTGAAGGTATCTCTTGTTTAATAGATTGGAATGACATGGTAAAATTGTTCTTTATTTTGTAATAAAGTGATTTTAGTTATAATTTCTGAATTAAAAGCCATTGCTTTTGGGTCATGAATAAAATACTTTATTTTTTATTTTGTTTTGTTTTGTTTTTTGAGTTTTTTTTGAGACAGAGTTTTGCTGTTGTTGCCTAGGCTGGAGAGCAATGGAGTGATCTCGGCTCACTGCAGCCACCGCCTCCTGGGTTCAAGCGATTTTCCTGCCTCAGCCTCCCGAGTAGCTGGGATTACAGGCATACACCACGACGCCCCACTCATTTTGTATTTTTAGTAGAGATGGGGTTTCTCCATGTTGATTAGGCTGGCCTTGAACTCCTGACCTCAGGTGATCTACCTGCCTTGGCCTCCCAAAGAGCTGGGATTACAGGCGTGAGCCACCGCAGCTGGTCGAATAAAATACTTTAAATAAAGCAGTACTCTTAAGACTTTTTAACTCCCTGCTACATAGTGTTTAACTGTTTAGTGACTTCAGGCATATGATTATTTGTAATAATAATGATAAAACTGCTTTTTACACACCAATGATTTTGAGGATCAGATCATTTCCTCATGTGAAAAGTGTGCTATAGACCTTGCTGTGTAATGTAAACTTTTGTTTTTACAGCTCGTGTTTTATGTCTTCTTGTTCTTTTTAGTTCTGAATAAGTACCTTGATATTGGACATACTGTGTTGCCTGTTTTTGGTTTTCTCTATATGATCTCTGCTTGAGTTTTCAGGTTCTATAATGACTTAAAAATAGGTGACATTAGATAGCAACTTGGTTCTCTGTTTTAGTAGAGAACCAGGGGGAGTTTGAAATGCAGATTTAATTGCAGATTCATTTGTTTATTTCTGTTTTTTTTTTTTTTATAACAGGGCTGATGGAGTTATGAGAACAATGAACACAGAAAAACTCCTAAAAACTGTACCAATTATTCAGAATCAAATGGATGCGCTTCTTGATTTTAATGTAAGTTGATTATGCTTTTGTAATTTAAGATTTTAAAAAATGTGGTCGTTATAATTCATGAGAATTTTTATCCTTAAGTTTTCACACACTCTAGTTTTTTATACTGATATCCTATATAGCTAAGGATTTTCTATAGAGTAGCCTCAAGTCAAATTACTTTTTGATTTTTATAACTGTTTTAGATTTATTTCTTAAGTGCTTCTGTAACTCTGGAATATTAAGATATATTAGCTAAAATGGTAAAGGGATTGATCTGAAAATCTGTTTTCTTTTGAGAATGGCTTTTAGATTTTAAAAATGTACAGAGATTTTTTTTTTAGTGAATAGCCAACTTAATCTTTTACTTCTGTCTATTTAATAGGACTCAAAGCATGACAATTATTTAGAAGTAAGAAGTTTAAATAGCACTTAAAATAGCCTGTTATGTAGCTGTTGCCCAAGGGCATTGTGTTCCCTGGAATTTTTGTTTTAATAACCATGAATTGAACCAAACTGCTAGCTTTGTCATTTATTTATAATATGTTAGAAGTTCGTATTTTCAACTCTGTTCTTTTTTTGGAAGTGGGGGGCATCTATCTTAACGACGTTTTATTCTTCTTTATTTTGAAATTTTGATTTAGAGATTGTAAGTTCAAGTCACTGAATGGAACTGTGATAGTTTCATGCTGAAATAGATTTTTCCTTTAAATTGTTTAATTGCTATTCTTTAAGCTTCTTCAGTGCAGGCACTAGGTTTCTTTTCTTCTGCTGTATCCCCATTGCCTATTAATGTATAGCACATAGTAAGTGTTAAGTAAACATTCAGTAACTCTTACAGATATTTCATGCCTAGAACAGATTATCCAACTACAGCTCATTGCCCATTTTTGTATATTTTTTAAATGGTTGAAAATAAATACTATTTTGTAACAGATAGAAATTATATGAAATTCAAACTTCAGTTTTCTCAATAGTATGATTGGAACACATTTAAGCTCACTGGTTTACATATTATCTATGGTTGTTTTATGTTACCACAGCAGAGTTCAGTAGTTGTGACAGAGATTGTATGGCCCAAGTCTAAAATATTTGCCATCTGGCCCTTTACAAAGAAAAAGTTTGCTGACCCCTGCTGTAGAAGGAGTGGGGTATTGATGCAGTTATTCAACATTATTTTGGCTTGTATAGAAGTTCAGGATCAAACCATGCATATTTTTCTTAATATGTTGTATTTGCATAAAATCTCTTATTCTTTTCAATGTTTGTATTGTACTTTGTTATGTGTAACAATTTATCTGATCTTCCTATTGATGTTTAATTTTTCTGTTTTTTTAATCCTAAACAGTTGCACTTGATTCTCTTTCCCTCTGTCTCCTCCTTTCCCTCCCTTCCTCCCTTTCTCTCTCTCTCTCTCTCTCTCTCTCTCTCTCTCTCTCTCTGTGTGTGTGTGTGTGTGTGTGTGTGTGTGTGTGTAAACCTATTTCAGTAGGGTTAACACCCAGAAAAAGAATTTGGTGGTTCAAAGAATATAAGCATTTAAATTTTTAATAAATATTTCTAACTTATACTCCAGAAGGGTTGAGCCAATAACTTGTTAACAGGTGTCTGTATTTACTTCTTCATCTCTTTGTTTTTTTGAGACAGCGTCACGCAGGCTGGAGTGCAGTGGCATGATCATAGCTCATTGCAGCCTCCAACTCCTAGGTGCAAGCATTCCTCCCACCTCAGCTTCCTAAGTAGCTGGGACTACATGGGTACACCACCGTACTCAGCTACCTTTTCTTGGTTTTAGTTTTTTGCAGATACGAGGTTTTTCGATGTTGCCCGGGCTTGACTCAAACTCCCAGGCTCAAGCAATCTTCCTGCCTCAGTCTCACAAAGTGCTGGGACCACAGACATGAGCTGCCATGCTCCTTTTCATTCCTATGGGCACTGAGTAATATAGTCTGGTGTTCCGGAAAGGATATTTTAGTAATTTGATTTGATTATTATATTTTAATTTACCTGATAAGTAAAGTTGTATTTCTTTTCATGTTATTATCCATATGTATCTTTTATTTTATAAATTACCTTTCATTTATTTTATTTATTATTAGGATTCTTCCTATATAATGTAAATCAACTTTGCTAGTCTGCAAATACCTTTTTTTTTTAACCAGTTTTTTGTTTGCCATTCAGTGTTGTGCTTAGTTTTTCCATATATATAATGAGTTAATTTTCATGTGCTAAGAAAGAACTTAGTATTAATTTGATTTATCTTTTTGATTTATTCCTTGAGGTAAAACTGAAAATATTTCCAGTATTCTTGTTAGTCAAATGAGTACAGTTATTTGGTTACAGCAAATTTAATAATAATAATAAATAGTGTTCATGTATGTGGTAGTTACTGCACTATGCTCTTTATATATTTATTAGAGAAAAGTCTTTTTCATTAACATGCCTAATGCTTGAATTTACTCTGTTTTAATTTGAAGGAAGTCTTTTTGTCAATGTCAATATTAAAACCTAATTGCTAATTTTATTTTCCAATTTCTCTCCAGGTTAATAGCAATGAACTTACAAATGGGGTAATAAATGCTGCCTTCATGCTCCTGTTCAAAGATGCCATTAGACTGTTTGCAGCATACAATGAAGGAATTATTAATTTGTTGGGTAAATACTGCTGTAGCCTTCTAACATTTTATTTCTTGTCTTGTGTCATATGGGTAAATAATATTGACTGAGTTGTTACTTAAACCTGTTTAAAAATTTATTGTGATACGTTCATTCATTATAACAATTAATTTGGAGAAAAGAGTTTTATACCTGATTATTTATGCAAGTGAATTACATATTTTTATACCCAGGATGTTCAGCAAGCCAAACTTTATTTTTTAGATATATCTATGTTTTTTCTATCCATTTAATTAATTTTAAAAATATAAAAATGCCCTTAAACTTTAGTTGGTAAAGACAGTAAGTTTTAGGCTGAGGCAGGAGAATTGCTTGAACCCAGGACGCAGAAGTTGCGGTGAGCCGTTATCTTGCCATTGTACTCTAGCCTGGGCAACAAGAGTGAAACTCCGTTTCAAAAAAAAAGAAGATAGGAAGCTTTATGTTACATATATTTTACGACAATTAAAAAAGATGGGGAAAAAAGCAAATTTTTTGTTCCAGAAAAATATTATTTTCTCATAATCGACTCCATAGTGAACTTTTTTAACAATTTAAATCTGTTTTTTATAGTCTGAAGTAACGTGGACTTAGGGATGCTTTAATCCATAGGGTTAGGGAAATTTGGCTTATTTTTTCGCAAGTGAAAAATAAAGACTTTTCTATAAAATTTTGGAAGGCATAGTCTTTCATACTATTATTAGTATAAATTAACGTCTTTACTTCTATGTATATATTAAGCTTAAATGAACTTTCTGAGTGACATTTGGGCATGGTAAAAGTTGTTATCTTAGATAATATACTATCAGAAGATTGGAAATAGGTGTCAGTGCTGTTTTAAATGGGGTAAAGTGTGATACGTGTAAACACACAAATATTACCTAGGTAATTGTGAGGAAAAATATTGTGAAACAAAGTAGGAATATGAATAGGGTCAAGTAGTGTTTCCATTTTTTAATATAATAGCACCTCCATTCTAGTTTGCTTTAAATACCTAAGCTAACTTAATACTGATATTTTTCTAGTAGGATGTGTATCCTCCTTGAGAAACCTATTTGGAGGCATTACCTACTCTTTTTCCTTTTTGGGTGTTACATTTTTATGTGAACAAAAGAATGTTTACATTTATTTTGTCAGAAAAATATTTTGATATGAAAAAGAACCAATGCAAAGAAGGTCTTGACATCTATAAGAAGTTCCTAACTAGGATGACGAGAATCTCAGAGTTCCTCAAAGTTGCAGAGGTAAACTGTCTTTAAGTGACTGTCTACTAACTTGCCTTTTTGTCTCTAAATATGGATTTTGAAGTCATCACTTACTATCCAAATAAAATAAATATCTTAAATTTAGTATTTAATCATATTATGCTGTATTGAATTCTGTGCCAAGATATGAATATGATAAAATAGTGAATAAAATAAATGCTGTATATTTAATTCAATGGCGGGTATTGAAAAGTTACCTGTTTTTAAATTGTTTACTTCTCTATAAAATTAAGTAGTTGACATACAATAGTGGCAGAGATTTTTATGGTTGGAATTAACAATATATTTGAGAATGTTTATTGTTAAATATGGTAGAAAATATCCACTGTCAGTGCAGGTTTCTTTCCAGTGAGATAGCTGGAGCCACGTAGTTCAAAATGTTTTTGTTGGCCAGACATGGTGGCTCACACCTGTAATCCCAGCACTTTGGGAGGCATACACAGGCAGATCACCTGAGGTCAGGAGTTCAAGACAAGCCTAGCCAGCATGGCAAAACCCCGTTTCTACTAAAGTTACAAAAATTAATCAGGCATGGTGGCGGGCTTCCACAATCCCAGCTACTGAGGAGGCTAAGGCAGGAGAATCGCTTGAATCTAGGAGGTGGAGATTACAGTGAGCCGAGATTGTACCACCGTACTTCAGTGTGGACGATAGAGCAGTACTCTATCTCAAAAGTCTTTGTTCCCCGACAGAAATGAATTTTGTGTGTTTATTATTAATTATGAAAACCATGAATGTAGGTAATAGGATAATCTAATTTTGCAGGTATGCTTAAAAATAATTTTCTGGAATTGTCACAAAAGGCACTTGTGGTAATGCTGGCAGGCATTTATCATGCTAGCAGCACAGAGGCATTCTTAAGGTGTTTTCTTGGTTTGCGTATTTGCTCTCCCATTCTCCAGCCTCTACCCGTCTCCACCAGAGATGCCTTCCTAGGGTAATTTGGTCAGTTATGTCAAAGTAGTTACTTTGGAACTAGCAAATTAGTGATTCTAGGCTTTATTACTGTGGTGATATGTTATTCTATATTAGATGCAATAGGACAGAACAGGATGATGAGACAATAGCTTTGTTATTAATCCGTTTTATGAAGCCTACTGAAATTTATCTTGGATTTAAAAATTTTTCAAGGAGAAAGATCCTTTCCGTTTTTTTTAGGGTCAGTCACATACTAAAATAGAGAAGAAAGTGTTGTTTATGCTGTGATTCCAGTGGCTTTCCCTCTTGGCCTCTTATGTTCTTTGCATTTGGTAGTCGTAGTTTCAAACTTAAGTTTTAAGCCCTCTTCTGTACTCCAGATTTGCTGTTAACTTATTCTGAGGTGAGATAGACTGGCTGCTACATATAATTTTTTTTTTTTTTTTTTTTNGAGTCTTGCTCTGTTGCCCAGGCTGGAGTGCCATGGCGTGATCTCGTCTCGCTGCAACTTCCGCCTCCCAGGTTCAAGCGATTCTCCTGCCTCAGCCCCCTGGGTAGCTGGGATTACAGGTGCCTGCCACCACACCCAGCTAATTTTAGAGATGGGGTTTCACCATGTTGTCCAGCTGGTCTTGAACTCCTGACCTTAAGTGATCAACCCACCTCAGCCTTCCAAAGTGCCGGGATTACAGGCATAAGCCACCACACCTGGCCTGCTCTACATATGATTTAAGAAAAACCTGGAGTCCCTTGCCTTAAAATACTCTGTTACGAGAAATTGGGCTTGGCAGTTTCATTAGAATGCCTTAGTTCCTGGAAGAAGGCAAGAGTAACCTCTTGAAATGTGTTTGAAGAGGACAAATAGATCAGACAGTGATTAGCTATTAACATCTGATTAATAGCTAATTTAATAGCAGATTTTCTTTTTTTGTTGTTGTTGAGATGGAGTCTTGCTTACTCTCCCAGGCTAGTGTAGTGGCTCAATCTCGGCTCACTGCAACATCCACCTCCCAGGTTCAAGCGATTCTCCTGCCTTAGCCTCCCGAGTAGCTGGGACTACAGTGCCACCATGCCCAACTAATATTGGTATTTTTAGTAGAGGTGAGGTTTCACTGTATTAGCCAGGACGGTCTTAATCTCCTGATATCAGGATCTACCCATCTTGGCCTCCCAAAGTGCTGGAATCACAGATGTGAGCCACCACACCCGGCCTTTATCAGATTTTCTACTGACATCATTCTGAGACCAGCCCCTAAGAGATCGAGAAAAGGAAGAGAGACCAATTAGAAAATGAAACACAGCCATGGGACAGAAAACCATTTTCTAAGTTGGTTGCTGGGATACACAGGAACTGTTTCTATCTTTTTGCTGGAAATTGCCTAGGGCCTGAGCATCATGAAAGCGTATTGGAGTTGCTTTGTGAAGACAGTTATATCCTCATTAGATATCACTTGACATTTCTGTAAACCTGGCGTACCTGACAGAACATGAGTTTTTTAAAGTGTTACCTGTGGTGATTTCCAGGGAAACCATGTTTTATGGAGAAAAACAAAGTCGATGTCTTCAGGTTTGTTTCTTAATTTTTTTTTTTTTTTCCCCATCAAAGAACTTGTTCATGGTCAGGCTTTCTCATTCTTACCCTAGTGTTTTTATCATATTACACATAGAAGAGAGGGGAGTTTTCAGATGGTGATAAGGTAGTTTATATAGGCATTCAGAAGACGTAGAGATGGTAACTTAGTAGACTTGTTGGCTTTCCAACTCAAGTTTCCCTACTGTTAGAACTTTTAGAGCCACCAAATAATATCTAAGCCATTGGAAATGTTGAGTATCTATGGAGATTAAATATTTTTCTGATTCTTAAGAAGTCTGTTTAAAATATTACCAGTACTAGCCATGATGTCATTTTTCCAAATTTTATTTATAAAACATCTTTATTATAATTTATTAAATATAATTCTTGTTCTTGCAGCAAGTTGGAATTGACAGAGGTGATATACCAGACCTTTCACAGGTAACTATATTGTTAAAATATAGTTGATATTATTAAAATATCAAGTATACTGTTAAAACATCTGTTGTGTACGTGGTATGAAGAGTATTAAAATAAGTAACATATAGCCCCTGTTGTCAAAGGGATCATTGCAATTTTTGACCAATTTTAACATTTTGATATATTCCTGAAGATTGTTCTAACATTATGATCACATAAAATGAGCTGCTTGCCACTTATATTTATGGCCTACCCACTGTCATACCATTTATTTAATCTCGTCAGTCACTCTTTCTTTCCTATCATCATCGTTTTAGAAAGAAAAAAAGGAAAAAAAAATTGTTGGAACCTGAACTTAAAAAATGATATTTAGAAAAACAGTTTTCACTATACTACTAGTAGAGAATTATACAATATTTATTTTTTCTGTTTTAAACTTCCACTTTGACTATTTGACTCAGGTGGGAGTAGTAAATAGGGATAAACTTCAGAACATAGTATTAGATTAAGAGAGTTGGGTTTGGGATATGTCCAAATTTTAGTCCGAGCCATGCCATTAGCTGGGCCTGTGACTTAGGGGAAGTTACTCTATGCTTCAGTTTCATCATCTGTAAAATGAAGATATTGTAGTACCTATCTCATACAGTAAATAGTTCAGGGGATTAAATGAGGTAATGCCAAAAAAAAAAAAATATAGAGAGCATTAAACACACTCAACTAATGTTGGCTATTTTAATCTCGTCTTCATCATCATCATCATCATCATCAAAAAAAAAAAAATTCTAGGGAAAAAACTTCATACTTGCTGGTTATTCTGGCTTATTCTCTGTGTTTTCTTTACTCAGTATTAAGAATGAAAGCACCTGGCATAAACTATCCTTGTAACACTCACATCAGCTCTCTCAGCTGTTGACATCTGTTTTACCTTGTTTTGTTTTGAGTTCTTCCAGAACTTTTTCCTTTTTTGGGGGATGGATTAGTATGCTCTTGTTGTCCCAGCTGGAATGCAATGGCGTGATCTCGGCTGTTGGCAACTTCCACCTGCTGTGTTCAAGCAATTCTCCCGCTTCAGTCTCCCAAGTAGCTGGGATTACAGGTGTGGGCCACCACGCCCAGCTAATTTTTGTATTTTTAGTAGAGACGGAGTTTCACCATGTTAGGCAGGCTGGTCTCAAACTCCTGACCTCAGGTGATCCCACTCACCTTGGCCTCCCAAAGTGCTGAGATTATAGGCATGAGCCACTTCGCCTGGCCTCTAGGACATCTTTTAAGCACCTTCTTGTTAACAGTTATTACTGACTTTTTCTGTACTCACTTGTTCTGATCCTTCCTATGTCAAGGCTAAGAATATGCAATAAATCTAGTCATGGGCTATATGTAAATAAAGAATCCTGCATATGTCCACTTGAAATAAATTAGCTTTATTAAGCACATTATTCTGAGTTGAACATGAGACAAGTCATTGCTTAAATAACATGTAGTATAAAATCATTTGGCAGCTTTACATTTCCCTGTTACCCACCCCATTTGTTGTGCTTCCCTCATGTTTTATTTAAAAATCGTCCTCAGGCTAGATGTAGACGTTATGTGCTGTCTTCATGTGTCTGTGTATGTTAATATTTACTGTATTGTAATTAGATAGTATTTTGTTAGCCTCTGTCCTTCTTTTCCTCTATATTGATGGTCTCTGAGCAAAGGGAACATGCCAAGCATTCTTTTGCTGATTCAGGAAATTTTCGATAGTGAACAAAACAAAGCTGTTTGCACTTTAGGGAAGATGGTGGTAATACAGAAGAGTGCGAATTTGAGATAATTTACTCTTTTTGTTATTATATATTGTTCTTTTAAGGTGTAAAGTACAACATTTTCTTCACTCTTTGGGTTTTGGAGGTTGGAAGGAAAGGTAGGCTTTTACTCTGTCACCCAGGCTGGGGTGCATTGACAAAATCGTGGGTCACTGCAGCCTCAACCTCCCAGGCTCAAACAATCCTCCCACCTCACCCTCCCTAATAGCTGGGACCACAGGCACATGCCATCATACCCAGCTAGTTTTTTTGTTTGTTTGTTTTTTTGTATGGAGACAGGATCTCCCTATATTCCCCAGGCTGGTCTGAAATGACTGGGCTTGAGCTGTCATCCCACCTCTGCCTCCCACAGTGCTGGGATTACAGGTGTGAGCCGCTGTCTGCAGCCTCTTCGTCATGTGGATTTGACTTTTAAAGAATAGCCGGATATACATAGATGGGATTTTAGAAATGGTTTGTCATCATAACTTGGCAGTTTAATATTTTAATATTTGTAAGCCACAGCTTAAACTCCAGAAAAAAGATAAAACTACAGTTTATATGACCACAGTTTCAAGTCTAGGATTTGGTAGCATAGTAGTTAATTATGTAGGCTTTAAAGTTAGAGATACCTTCCCTATCTTTGCTTCTGTTGTGTATCAGATGTGTGATCTTGGTCAGATTATTTAATTTTCACTGTCTCAAGTTGTTTATCTGTAAAATGGATATACCTGTAGTGTCTTCTTCATCGATTCAGTGACAACACACAAGGTAGCTAGCACATAGTACCTGTTGTGTGAGAAGAGCTTTTTAAATGTTAACCACTATCATCAACATCCTCCTTATCATTTCTGAAAGCTCTTAAAGAGTGCTTTGCGTGCTGGGCACGGTGGCTCATGCCTGTAATTCCAGCACTTTGGGAGGCCGACGCGGGTGGATCACAAGGTCAAGAGATCGAGACCATCCTGGTCAACATGGTGAAACCCCGTCTCTACTAAAAATACAAAACATTAGCTGGGCATGGTGGTGCGTGCCTGTAGTCCCGGCTACTTGGGAGGCTGAGGCAGGAGAATTGCCTGAACCCAGGAGGCGGAGGTTGCGGTGAGCCGAGATCGCACCATTGCACTCCAGCCTGGGTAACAAGAGCGAAACTCTGTCTCAAAAAAAAAAAAAGAGTGCTTTGCTGCTGATTAGCAAACATTTTTGCTGTGGCTGTAGGAAGTGCATGTATACTCTCAATTTAGCAAAGAAGTTAATCTTCCAATGTAGTATTTGGTTTTACACATGGTTTTCTACTGTATCTCCCTTGTGCTAATGTCCTGGTATATAGAGGAATTAGTAGATGAAAGAAGTTGTTAAAGTCATAAATGATAGAGAAATTAGTAGGTATTGCCCCTTCTATTTTTAGATCCTATAATCCAGAAACTGTATCTCAAATCCTATAGAATATTTAAAGTAAATGCTACTGATGCATTTGCCTCACTTACAGTAAACAGTTCTTAGCCTGCACCCTGAAAAGGTTTTCTTTGCCTTCTTCATGTTAAGTTGAGATTTGAGCTATAGCCTGAGTTTAAAATTAGTCTTCCATTAAAAAAAAAATACAAAGTAAATCGTCATTTCAGTACAGTTTGATAAATAAACATTTGTGTAACCAACACATCATTCAAGATAGGAAAATCCCATTTCCCCAATCTTTATGCCCCCTTCTAGTCACTTCTTACCCACCTCCATAAACACTATTTTGATTTTTTTTATTTTTAAATAACTTTACTTTCCACCTAAGTAGTGTACTAATACTATCTTGATTTCCAATATCATAATTTTATTGATTCTTAATATAAGTGAAATCATACAATTATTTACTTTTGCATTCTGGCTTCTTTTGCTCATCATATTGTTCAGTATCTGCATATGTTCTTGAATGTACCATTAATTCTTCTTTATTGCTGAATAGTATTTACCACAGTTTTGTCTGTCCATTTTCCAAATGATGGACTTTTGGATTGTTTGCAGTTTTTGACTATTGTAAATAAAGCCACATTAAACATTAAGTCATTTCTTACAGAGATACTTTTTTCTTTCTTTGGGGTAAGTAGTTAGGAATGGAATTGGATCATTAAGGTAGGTGCGTATTTAACGTTGTGAAAAACAACCTAATCCATTTTCAAGGTGATAAACTCCCACTAGTGATGTATGAGAGTTCCAGTTGTTCCATATTCTCAACAATGTTTGACATTGCTAATGTGTTAAACTTTAGTCATTGTAGTAGGTGAAAAGATGTATCTCATTGTGATTTTCATTTTCATTTCCCTGTCATTTATCAATAATTTTTCCAGAGTCATATTTGAACACTTTCAATTGTTCAGCAGGTGCTTATTAAGTACCTTCTGCATGCTCAGTAGTATGTCTAGCTTTTAGGAGTATGTTTTTACTTTAAAATTTAAATAAAATGTAAACAATTTTAAGTACTTGGAAATTTTTAAAAAATGTTTCATGTTTACATAGTTTCAGTTCTTACATTTTTGGTAATGTTTCTTATTATCTCTAACTAGGTCATGTTTGTATAATAAAAGTAAAATTGTCATTCTCATTAAGTAGCTAAAACTCTGCTGTTAATTAGTACATGAAGAAATCACGTGTTTATTTTTGTTGCTCTCTGATTAGATAATACTTGATTTAATTTGACCAGTGGCCTAATTATCATGAAGTTTTTAATATTTATACAATTATAGGCCCCCAGCAGTCTTCTTGATGCTTTGGAACAACATTTAGCTTCCTTGGAAGGAAAGAAAATCAAAGATTCTACAGCTGCAAGCAGGTACATTATTCTTTGTAGGAAAAACAGCAAGAGTGATTTTCCTGAGGGAATAGATGAATCCAGCTCAGTTTCCAAGCTATTTAATTTATCTTTATCTTGATTTGATTTTCTATAAAATGGGTTTAATCATAATATCAACCTCATAGAATTAGTATCAGAATTAAATGGATTAATACATGCAGATTCTTGAAGTAGTTTCTGACCTTCAATAAATGTCAGCATCTGTTAAAATAATGACAATGACTGCATGGTTTAGAATTGTGTTTAAAATTTCTCTGAAAGACAATAATACATTGCTTTGTATGATGCTTTATAATTATAAGATACTTATTTTTTTCTTTCTCTGAGACAGAGTCTCACTCTGTCACTCAGGCTGGAGTACAGCAGCACAGTCTCAGCTCACTGCAATTTCCACTTCCCTGGTTCAAGTGATTCTCCCACCTCAGTCTCCCAAGTAGCTGGTACTACAAGTGCATGCCACCATGCCTGGCTGATTTTTGTATTTTTACTAGAGACGGGGTTTCACCATGTTGGCCAGGCTGGTCTCGAACCCTTGAACTCAAGTGATGCACATGCCTCATCCTCCCAAAGTGCTGGGGTTACAGACATGAGCCACCGTGCCTATAATTACAAGATACTTTTGTATTAATTTGCCCAACCCCCACAATAGCCCTGTGAAGTATGTAGTAGCAATGCCGGGACTCAAACCTGGAATGTCTAACATCAGATTTCATGCTCTCTCTCATGCCAGTTCATGGGGTTGATTATTGATATTTTATATTTTAATCACTTTATTATGTTTTAAGCTAATTCCTCAAACTACAGCCAGTTAACATAGCAAATTGAAAGTAACACAAATCATTTCATGTCAGTCTATTAACATGATTTTTGCATTGGGTTAAGAAATTACTTGAGTTACTCTCATGTTTTCTTATGAAGCTTTTTTAAAACAGCGTGAAGAAAGAATCTGTCTAGTGAGAACCTTCCTTTGGTTCTTTTTAGACTTTCTGTTTGTTGTTTCAGACCTTTTGGTCTTTTATTAATAAAATATAAATAATTTTTTTGTTTTTTAAATTTTCGTTTGTAAATATAAATAATGTTTAAAGGAAAATGCCATTATTGGATTTTAATGCTTATTTTTAATCTTTGATTTGTACTTTGAATTTTCTAATAGGATTTTAGAAGTAGCAGTCAAAACGATGTCTCATTTGTTTGAGAGAATAATGAAGGAAAAAAAAAAAAAAGAGCCATGTAGTTCAGGTGCACCAGTTTACCTGAAATGTTTATCATAAGAAGTATTGGTTTTTTGGCATTTCTGTCACAACTCTGTTACTCTTCCTTTGTCTTCTGAGTTGCCTTTTTTTAATGGCTTCTTTATAATACTGATTTTACATAAAATTTAAGTGGTAGTGTTTGCCACTTTAAATGCTTAGAGTAGAAATTAATGATGTTTGGTATGTGGTAAAAGGAAAATTAACAAAGCTCAAGGTAGTTCTTTAGGTTAGAATTCTTTACCACTTGTTTTATTTAGCCTAGAGTTAACATTTGGGAAGTTAATGTTGAGGTTTATAGTATGGATACATTTTTGATAAAAGGGAAAGGAGGTGGTTTGCCAGTGAGAGATGATGCATTGTACATGTATATTTAAAAAGGAAATTCTAGTTTGGCAAAAGGGCAGCACATAGAAAGGAGATGCCAGATGGCCTGGTGACTATATTGAAACCAGTCTTCTTTTGAAGGAACCTCAAGTCCTCTGGGGATGTTGTTATAGGTGAAACACACCTAGACCTACGTTACTTATTACTGTTATGCATGTTGTGCTGTTCCTGTGGCACTGCCAAAATGTAGGCTGTAAGTTAGTAGAGGGTTTTCCCTGTGAGAAACTTAACACTTCTTCTCATCAGGGGTTTTGTGGGATTGTGTGGGCTGTTTCCTAATTGTATTGGTTTCCTCTCTTGGGGCTTGGAAGAGGCAAAGTGCCCCTACTCTATTGTGAACCCTTTCCAAAGTCTGACACTGAATCTAAAAGCGGTGTTTGTAAGCCAGCATTTTTCTAATTGCTATAATCCTCTAGTTCCCTGGGTAGGATATTTCATCTGAAGTACTGGGTTTGAATCCAGACGTCAAGTTTGTATTTATAGTGCCTATCCATGACAAGGTTGCCAGACCATTTTATGACCTGGATGTAATGTGAAGTGTTTAGCAAAAAGCCAAATTATCTCTATTAAATTATCCTAGGGCAACTACACTTTCCAATGCAGTCTCTTCCCTGGCAAGCACTGGTCTATCTCTGACCAAAGTGGATGAAAGGGAAAAGCAGGCAGCATTAGAGGAAGAACAAGCACGTTTAAAAGCTTTGAAGGTAAGTTTGTGCATTCTCCTTATTCGTAAAAATGAGTACAAGTGTTCATAAGGTAAATGGGGCCTCTACACAGACTTAGAGTCTCAACTTACCTAATGGGCTGACACTCAGTTTAACTTTTCATGCTGACATGGAATTAGTGAAAACAAAGAATATCTGCTATCGGAACAAAATTAGGAAATGCTTTTTCAGAGGCTGTACAAACATCTGGTTTCTGAAATTCTTATGGCAATTCCCTTTCTTAACAGGAACAGCGCCTAAAAGAACTTGCAAAGAAACCTCATACCTCTTTAACAACTGCAGCCTCTCCTGTATCTACGTCAGCAGGAGGGATAATGACTGCACCAGCCATTGACATATTTTCTACCCCTAGTTCTTCTAACAGGTAGGAGTCGAAGTTAAAGTTACCTTTGAATATTTAGGTTCAAAGACTTCTAATAGAAATTTTGCAGAACTTTTCAGGTTTACTTTTATTTATGATTTTATAATCTGTTCACACAAAGAGGTGGTAATAAATAGCAGTATTGGTATAATACCTAAAGATAAAGTGATAGTTCATATTTTAATTTTTTAGGAAATGGAAGGTAGTTAAATCACTGATTTATACTAATTGGAATATAGCTGTTATCTCTGGGCAAACTTTTCATTGTGTAAAAATTATGATTAAACACATTTATGAGGCATCTAATGCTTCAAGACCCTTTATAGCTCTTTAACATATGGGTATGATATATATTTCAAAATACCATTTCATTGGATAATAAACATCTGTCATACCTATTTCCTGGTTTTAAACTCTGTAATCTAGAACACAGTGACAGAATTTAGTTGCCAGCTTTCTTGGTATTGAAGGCTACCAGCCTAACTTTAATAATCTTGTTCTTTAATTTAAGCTACTTAACATGGAAATATAATATTGCCAAACTAAAATAATTGGCGTTCTCTAAATCTGTTTTGTCTTTTACCTCAGAGTGCCTTAAAGTAGTTTAAAAGTCAGATTTTGGTTTGAATCCTGGCTCTGTTATTTCTTACCTTTTTCTGAGAAACCTTGTTTTCACATGAGATCGTGGTTCTCAATTTTAACATCAGAAACACTTGGAGAGGTTATTAAACCATAGCTATCTGGGTCCCAATCCCAGAGTTCTGATTCAATAGGTTGGGGTTGGGACCCAAGAATTTTTGTTGCTAAGATGCTCCCAGTGCATTATTAGCACATGTTAAATGTTCTATAGAGTGTGGTGGGTTTTCCCTTTGACTAGTTATTGCCGTTTTTTTTTTTAATTAACTCATCCTTAAAAGGTTGTCTTCCTGCCTGCTGACTCCTTTAATAGCTTGGTGTAAGTTTTACTACCTGAACTGCTTGCTCTATGCATTCTCAGTTGCTACCTACTCCCAAAAATCTTAGTAGGTCTGAATTTAGTTCTTTGTTTTTCTTTCAGCTTTATTATTTGCTTGTTCTTGTATGCTACCTTCTTTAATCCCCAGTAAAGTAACATTGACCCCATTAGCGGACAAGTTCTCAACTTGGAGACCTTGAAAAGAAATCTGTCTTAGGAGAGATAAGTGAAAAGAATGTTCAGTGTTTGAGTCTGAAACAAATTATTGGATAAAGAACTAATTTCACTATGTCTTATCTTACGTACTAAAAATTTTCACCTATTTAATAGTAATTAAGGGGAAATCTTACAGCCCATTTACAGACTTCTTATTGTATATTCTTTATGTTCCCCAAAGCACTAGATGCATTTATATCTACTGTCTACAAAACTATTTTACATCTAAAGACATGTCTTCAAAACTATTTTATAAAAATGCAGTTAGAAGGAATAAGTTCTCGTGTTTGATAGCACAGTAGAATTACTAGTTAACAATAATAATTTTATTATCTCTGTCAAAGTAGCTAAAAGAGACTTGGAATGTTCTCAACACAGAGAAGTGATAAATGTTCGCGATGTGATAGATGTCCTAATTACCCTGATAATTACATGATATGCATGTATCACAATATCATATGTATCCCATAAATATGTACAATTATTGCATATCAATTTAAAAATTAAAAAATTATATTTCGAAGAATATATAAGTTAAAAATTAGGAGCCAGGTGTGGTGGCATGGGCCTGTTGTCCCAGCTACTCAGGAGGTTGAGGCAGGAGGAAGTCCTGAGCCCAGGAGTACAAAGCTAGCCTGGGCAACATAGCAAGACCCCATCTCTTTGTGTGTCTCTCATTCTCTTTCGCTCTTTTGAGACAGTGTCTTGCTTTGTCACCCAGGCTGGAGTATAGCGGCACAATCATGGCTCCCTGCAGCCTTAACCTCATGAGCTCAAGTGTTCCCCCTGCCTTAGCTTCCTGAGTAATTGGGGCTACAGGTGCACTCCACAATGCCCAGTGAATTTTTGTGTTTTTTTGCCATTTGCCCAAGCTAGTCTTGAACTTTGGCACTCAAGCAGTCCACCCACCTTGGCCTCCACTACACCTAGCCTCAAGACCCCATCTCTTAAAAAAAAAATTTTCTGTACTGTGTTTCAATTTGTAGACACTCTGGGGTCATTTTTTGAGTTGTTCATTAAAATCACATAGAAGTCTGGAGGTCAGAAATATATCATGTAAGCCAGACATGGTGGCTCACGTCTGTGATCCCAGCACTTTGGGAGACTGAGGCAGGTGGATCATCTGAGGTCAGGAGTTCAAGGCCAGCCTGGGCAATGTGGTGAAACCCTGTCTCTACTGAAGGACAAAAATTAGCCTGGCATGGTGGCATGCACCTATAATCCCAGCTACTCGGGAGGCTAAGGCACAAGAATCGCTTGAACCCAAGAGGTGGAGGTTGCCTTAAGCCAAGATCACATCACTGCACTCCAGCATGGATAATAGAGTGAGACTCTTTCTCAAGACTGGCTCAGGGGCTCATGCCTGTAATCCCAGCACTCTGGGAGGCTGAGGCAGGCAGATCACCTGAGGTCAGGAGTTTGAGACCAGCCCAGGCAACATGGTGAAACCCATTCTTTAATAAAAACATAAATATTAGTTGGGCCTGGTGGCGTGAGCCCGTAGTCCCAGCTACTTCGGAGGCTGAGGCAGGAGAATCACTTTAACCTGGAAGGCAGAGGTTGCTGTGAGCCAAGATCATGCCACTGCACCCCAGCCTGGGCAGCAGAGCAAGACTCCATCTCAAAAAAAAAAAAAAAAAAGAGAAAAGAAAAGAAATATGTCATGTAAATAGTGTGTTCTATGATGGGGTGGCTGTATCCATAAATGCATGTAAACATTTTCCCCTGTATTATTGATATGTAGTTTGGATATTGAGGCACTGGAATTGAAGTTAATGAGTATTTTACTTTGTAGTGGTATTGGTATTACAAATGTGATTCAAGTTCTGTGAAGATTAAAAGCAAGAATAAACTTTTATTAAAAAAATAATAAAATTGCTATGGTATTTTGTATTTTAGAATCTTCTTGTTTAGGTTCATTTTAATAAGGAAATTAGTTTTTTTCCAGGAGAAGGCATTTATCCTTTTCAGAAGAGCTACTGTTGTTTGAATCCTATATAAACTTAAGATATGGTATTAGATTATTTTTTTCAAGCCTCCTTAGAAATATGCTGTTCTATGAGGGAAACTTCCTCTTTTGAGGTTTATATTAATGGGGCTTTTCCCCCTTGTATTTAATGTTTTTATCTGCAGTGGCTGGGATGGGGGAAGGAGGTAACACTAAAGTAGCAAGGTTTTTCTAGCCAATAAAACACATTTCCAAAATATCTTTCTAGCACATCAAAGCTGCCCAATGATCTGCTTGATTTGCAGCAGCCAACTTTTCACCCATCTGTACATTCTATGTCAACTGCTTCTCAGGTAGCAAGTACATGGGGAGGTAAGCATTGATGAATTCTATTTTAGATGTTATATGCATCTCTGCTCCTCATTCTGTGGTGGTTTACTTATTTATGTCGTTTTTTATTACACTTGATACGTGAGAACTTGAGAAATAAAATGGCAGTGAAGCAATTTTATCCCTTGAAGGTATGTTCATTTATTATAAATAATTTTGGAATTTATGTTCAATGAAATTATGAAATGACATTTGATAAAGATTAAATGTAAGAGGAAGGACCAAGTGTATTTTTAAATATGAGATCATTCTTTTAATGTTGACTTTTTATTCCATAATCAGAAAATGTATAGTTGTTATTTTGATTTTGGTATAGTATTTTTTTTTTAACTTTTGGGGAAATATAAAGTTCTAATAAAACTCAGATGGTATTATCACACAGTGAACTATGTTATGACCAGGATTGTCTTGACCAGCTTTATGCTGCTTATGTTTTAAATGTTTGTTTAATTAAGTCCTGGAAGATTTTGCTAGTCAAAGAATTTTCTCCTTGTACCAATAGGAATGTTTGCTGCCCTCAAGCAGTTCTGAAGTGATAGGCTTATCTCCTGTAGCAAAATAAATTAATTATTCTAATAATTTTTTACAGTATACAAAGCAAGCTTTTTTCATTTTATTTTAATGATTTGAATTTTAGAACATTTTAAATTATTTTTTTTAAGGTACTATATCCTGGAAAGTAAGCTCTGTGAAGGCAAGTTTTACAGTAGTTTGTTCTGACAGGTAGTTTGTAAATGTTTGTTGAATAAGTGGATGCTTTCTCTTTTGGACAAGTTCTTTCTGTTTCAAGGTGAGGCACAGAACAAATAGTGAAACCCTAAAGCACTAGATTTCAGGCTAATTTTGTGAGCCTGAACTTGATTTAACAAACTAATTGACTCTGAAGGCTAGTTTAATTTAGCTGAATCTTAAGATCTGAGAGTAATTCCTAAAAATGACAAAATATTAATGAAGTCAATAAGTATTTTAGAATTATTTCAGAACGAACTGTAGATAGCAAATTAAGATTAAGAAAGGGGTTTCTTAATATCCTAATGGTATGTTCTGATATTTGGATTCTTAATCTGCCAAACGTATATGCTTATTTTTTGACTTACTGTGAATTACTTTAGAAAGGGTTAGTAGAATTAACATGACTATTTAAGCAGTTTCAGCTTATTTCCTTTTTTAAAAAAAATATAGTATTCTTTTTAAAACTAAGGCTGAGTTGTTTCTCTAAATAGTCTAAAAATTTTACAGAAGGCCTAATAAAAATGTGTTTAACATTTTAAAGAAGCTGAACTTAACTTCCTAATTGTTTTGTCTGGACACCATGTACAACTAAAAATGATAAGTTGAAGTTTCTACTTGAAATTGTTAAAGTCATAGATGAAAGCAAATAGAGTAGTACTGTGGGAGAACAATTCTAAGTAATTTCAGTCTGCAAGAATTGTTCTATGTCCTGTTAGAAGACATTATTCCATCAAAGCCTCTATGTGACAGACTACAATGTATTGGAATACATTTAATCATTTTTACTTTTCTATTTTAGGTTATTTTTGCTTTGTATGCTATTTCAGTCAAAATTTCCCCTATGTTAAGTCCCTCGACCTAATCAGAATTCAATCATGTCTTGACTTTCATATAAGGGTATTTGGCTTCTGAGTTGGTGATAACTTCAGAATTAGACTTCTGCATGATGCTGAAGAGTACTTTAAGCCAAGAATGTTCTAATTCAAGTCAGTATTCATATACATGACAATCAGATTAAGATTTGTTTTTTTAATTAAAGTTAGACTAAACTAACTTTAAATTAGACTAAAATTAAGAAATATATATGGCCAGGTGCAGTGGTTTCCGTCTTTAATCCCAGCACTTTTTGGGAAGCTGAGGCGGGCAGATCACATGAGTCCAGGACTTCGAGACCAGTCTGGCCAACATGGCAAAACCCTGTCTCTAAAACTACAAAAATTAGCCAGACATGGTGGTGCACATCTGTAATCCCTGCTTCTCGGAAGGCTAGGAACAAGAAACACTTGAACCTGGGAGGAGGGGGTTGTAGTGAGCCAAGATTTGTGCCACTGCACTCTAGCCTGGGTGACAGAGCAAGACTGTCTAAAAAAAGGAAATCTTATATATGAGAAGCTTCGATCATAGCATTAAATGTTTAAGGTATTTTGAAGTTAACCATTTACCTGAACCCTTAAATATTTAACATTTTATGTGTCATGCTGCTTTTATAGTATATGACAAAGCAGGAGTATGATTTTTTTATAGTCCCCAAACCTTGTTCCATTCTTTTATTGGCTTTCATTAGCCAAAAATGAATGCCCATAACAGACCAAGTATTTAGTTCTTATCGTCAACACCACAGAAGTGATGTGCATTCTTAGTCATAGATAGGTTAATGATAAGGTAGAGGTAAAGGGAAGAAAAGTTTATATGTGTATATGAAGGTCGTAAAATTCCAGCTTTTGGTGGAAGGAAAATGAGAGAACACAAGCTCTCATGTTGCCTTCATTGTATTATTAATGAGCCTTTACTTTTTCAAGAAATGTTCTGGAGTCTAACCAAGCAGTTGGTATTGAATACCAATATTGAATACTATTATCTGTGAAGACCTAGGTTTTCTTCACCCTGAAAATTTTGAATTACGGCAAACTTTGAATTTTTATATTTAAAAATATACAGTATTATCAGCCTGGTACACTATTGAGTAATTGAAGCAAGATTTCAAATTTTAGTTTAGGTATAATAGAATTATTCATTCTAAAGTTTAATTTCCCTTACTCTTAGTTGGCATGAAACATACAACACTTTATGAAAAAATTTGATTATCTGGCCAGGTCCAGTGGCTTATACCTGTAATTGCAGTACTTTAGGAGACCAATGCAGGAGGGTTGCTTGAGTTTGAGACCAGCCTGGGCAACATAGCAAGACCTTGTCTCTACCAAAAAAATGTTTTTGAACAAATCAGTTTACCGTGTGTGAATGTAGATATCAGTTGTTTAGGAGGTAAAGGCTATAATATGACTGTGGTGCCATTTTAGTCCTTGTTTTAACTTTTTTTGGATTATTTTTTAATGACTCTAGTGTAGCATAAAATTAAGCTTTTGGGCCAGGGGTGGTGGCTCATGCCTGTAATCCCAGTATTTTAGGAGATCAAGATGGGTAGATCACTCGAGGTCAGGAGTTTGAGACCAGCCTGGCCAACATGGTGCAACCCCATCTCTACTAAAAATATAAATATTAGTTGGGTGTGGTAGTGTGCACCTGTAATCCCAGCTACTTGGGAAACTGAGGCATAAGAGTTGCTTGAACTTGGGAGGTGGAGGTTGCATTGAGCCAAGATCACGCCCCTGCATTCCAGCCTGGGCAGCAGAGCAAGCCTCTGTCTTTAAAAAAAATAAAAAACAACAAAAACATTAAACTTGAATGAATAATGCTAAAAAATAATGGACAAAACTATTATTTTTAAAAATTTTAGACTGGGTGCAGTGGCTCACACTTGTAATTCCAGCACTTTGGGAGCTATGGCAGGGAGTTTTGAGACTAGCCTGGGCAACATGGTGAGACCTCGCCTCTATGAAAAATCGGAAAATTAGCCCGACATGGTGCCATACACCTCTGGTCCCAGCTACTCAGGAGGATGAAGTGGGAGGATCGCCTGTGCCAAAAAGGTTAAGGCTGAAGTAAGCTGTGATCATGCCGTTGTACTCCAGTCTGGGCAACAGAACAAGACCCTATCTAAAAAAAATAAGGGATTTAGAATTGCCAGTTCAGTAGGTTAACTTGAAATAGCCAGAGCGTTATTATTATATCTTAATGAATTGTTTTTTATTACTATAGTATAACGTCCATTAATAGATTAACATCTTGTAGATTATTTGTAGTGTTTTGTCAGTTAGGAACTGGTTTTCCCTTATTGTCTGATTGATCTTATTATGAATATACTTGCACATATTTCTGAGTATTCTCCTTTAAGGTGTTTCATGTAATAGGAAGTGATTGAAACTTAGGTGCTAGATAAAACTGTATCTGTTGAAAGAACAGCCCATAACTAGTAACCTTTCCTGAACATGTCTTCTCATAAACCAATGGATGTGTTGTAGAAATGTGGTGTTTTGTTTTTTTTTTAATGACTTATTTCATGGCTTATTTTTTTTTTTACATGAAAAAATGAAAGATATTTTACTTGTCTGACAAAATATAAGGTACTTTAAAAACTCCATGCAACTGTTAATATCATGTATTTAAAAACAGAGCATTTGGCTAGGTGTGGTGGCTCATGCTTGTAATACCAGCACTTTGGGAAGCTGAGGTAGGCGGATCACCTGAGGTCACGAGTTCAAGACCAGCCTGGCCAACATGGTGAAACCCTGTCTCTACTAAAAATAAAACAGTTAGCTGGGTGTGGTGGCATGGGTCTGTAATCCCAGCTACTCAGGAGGCAGGATAACTGCTTGAACCCAACAGGCAAAGGTTGCAGTGAGCTGAGATCACACCATTGCACTCCAGCCTGGGTGACATAGTAAGAATCTGTCTCAAAAAAAGAGAAAGAAAAAGAAAACATTCAACCTCTGTCTGATTAACTCTAAGCTTAGTGCAACTCCTTTCTTACGCAAGAAGGAGCTAGAGTGGCCGTCATTGTATTTTAGTACTAAAAGCCAATGTTCTTGGTGGCTCATGCCTATAATCCCAGCACTTTGGGAGGCCGAGGAGGGAGGATCACTTGAGTCCAGGCAGGGGTTCAAGGCTAGCATGGGTGTTATAGCATCTCTACAAAAATTAAATTAGCCAGGCGTGGTGGCATGTGCCTGTAGCTCCAGCTGCTTGGGAGGCTGAGGTGGGAGAATCACTTAAGCCCAGGAGGTGGAGACTACAGTAAGCTATGATTGTACCACTGCACTCTAGCCTGGACAACAGAGCAAGACCCACTCAAAAAGAACAAAACCAAAAAACCCACAGGGTCGCCCCCCAACTTCTTATAACTGAGTATTTTCTACTTTTTAATTTGTGAATTATTATTTTCTGATTCTTTATTTATTGGGGAGTGGAATGATGGGAAAGATTTCGAGTTTGACTAGTATAATCAGCATATTTTGATAGATTTGTAGGACTTAATTTTTTTAGTGTAAATTTATTTTCCATAAGAATAACTATTATAGAAAAGTTATTATGTTACAGAAAAAATTTTATTAAAAAGATGTGTTAATTTTAAACCCATAATCTGAGGATTTTCTTGATATTTTCCTTTTTCAAACAGTTGTATTTGAGTTTATAGAATACTTGCCTTGAATTTGTTGACTTTAAAGGAAGCGTGCCTATATCATAGTAAATGAGCTGGTTCTTAGGCCACTGTTGCCTTCTTAATGTTCAATCATTCAGTCTTAAGAGTAAAATAAAGTACCTAGTACTATGAAGGTACCACAGCATATTTCACTGAAGGTCAAGAACTAAACTAGAATAGACAAGAAGAGGCTACTGTTTAGAATTACAGGAGTATCTTCTTTTTAATTATGTTACAAAGAAAAAATTAAGATACTGTTAAGATATTTTTGTTGCTTTTGTTTTTCTCTCCTCATTTAGTTAACTCTTTAAATCTTGAGAAGTTAGGAAAAATAGATTTGAGTCATTAGAATGATAATTATCTTGAAATAGGTACCAGTACAATAATTGTCTGGTTCTAGAATAACTTTAGATAAAGGATTTGATAATAGTACGCATTTGATACCATTCTAGTAGAGAAACAATACTTTCGTTGTTCCTTTAGCAAATCATTTAAAGACTCTACAGCTCTTAGATCGCCATTCAAAGCTTTTCTCAGTTTTTTAAGTGTGCATTCTTTCATCTCTATTCTTAATTATCTAAAATTCTTTTCCCCTATCCTTAGATTTTTTTCTTTATCTTGGTTTTTTATTTCCTACCTTTGAAACTGTGCAGGAATTATCTACACATGCCAAAAACGGCTTCTTACCCCTGATTTGTCATTATCCTATTTTTTTCTTTTTGAAAGTTTACTCAGGACATACATACCAATTGTTGATATCAATTATTCAAGTAAACACAGCTATACTGCCATGACCAGTGCACTCACCTAGGACAGGGAAGATTGGTGCAGGGTGGGTGGTTCTTTATAGAAACATCTTGGTTGTTATTCTCGTCTTTAACTACCTGACTATTGGCTTCCTGGTGTTAACAAATGATTTTTTTCTAAGGATTCATTCTAAAATATGTTAAATGCAATTCTTCCATCTCGATAATTAGATATTTTTTATTTTCGATAATTTAGATATTTAAGATTAATAAACAGTAATATAGCTACTACTTTTCACTTTGCATCTTTTGACTAATTACAATACTAATTTATTTACTTCCTTTCTTCATTTTGCTGTAATACATTTGGACTGCACAGATCCTTTCTCTGCTACTGTAGATGCTGTTGATGATGCCATTCCAAGCTTAAATCCTTTCCTCACAAAAAGTAGTGGTGATGTTCACCTTTCCATTTCTTCAGATGTATCCACTTTTACTACTAGGACACCTACTCATGAAATGTTTGTTGGTAAAGTACCGTTTAACCTTTTTTTCCAATCAATGTTTATACTGCCTATGTTTTACGTGTCCATTAATTTAAAAGCACTGCAACAATTACTTCAGATTTTAATATCGAATTCTAAAATAAAATAACCAGCAATAATGTAGTGAGGTTTTAAAATTGACACTAGTATACCAATTTTATTTATACAAACTTTTAGGAAGGAAAACTTCTTTTGATGTTGAAGTTTATTTTTTAGTGTTTTGTTCTCTCCTGTGTTAGGGTGCAAAACTCGAGGAAAAATAACATCTCTTAAACTTTTATGTTTATATGCGTTTATGTTTTTCTTTTTGTATTTGGGGAAGAGAGGGGTTAATCACTCTTAGCATCTGTCTTTAATCTTTTCTTTCTCTCTTAACAGTTGCATGTCAGTTTTATATTGTCCAAAATCCATACATATTTTTTATCCCATTCTGAAGGATTTTACTTTATAGATAACATAGAGATAAATGCAAAGTAGGAAGTATGTGTTTCATTTTAAATAGTAAAGCAGAAAAGCAACTTGACTTGGATATCCTGTAATTCAAGTATAAAAAGCATAAAAAGGCAGAATTTCACACTGAGGTTATATAGGGAATAGTAAGTTTTAGAGTATATACTGAAGCTGAAATAAATGTTTTTGAATTCTGCTGAAAAAGATGCTAACCCTGTTCCCTATCTCCCCAAGACAATGAAACTTCTTTTATTCGGTTCAGAGAAACAGCTTAAGGTGATGTGAATTTAAATATTTGATTAAAACTGCATGCAGAAAGTCATCAGTATGCTCTCGACAGATCATGTGACCACACTGTAAATATTCTGTTAGATATGTATGAGTCAGAGGAAGGAAGAGAAGAAAGAAGTAACTAGAAAGCAAATTAATAGTAGAAGGAGATTAGACGAAGTTCCAGGTCAGTTGTTCTAGTTAAATATGACTAATCTAATAGCTTAAACCACATAGATACCCAAAGTGTGATAATTCATTGCAATAATTCCTTCATGTCATTTTGATACAAAGTTGCCAACCCTTACTCCATAAGGTTAAGAACAACTCAGAAAAATCAGAAAAGCTATGTGTCTAGACACCCTCTGACCTTGCCATAGGGAAGACATTATCTGATACAATGATCAGTTTAATAGGTAGTTTGTCCTCATTGAGCTTGAAGAACACTGAATTGTGAGTCAGAGGCTGAGTTGTGGTCTTAAAACTATGCTGCATATGTGAATGTCTGTGAAAGTGTCTAGGCTTGCTTTCTCAGCTGTACAACCACACATTAGAGGACAGGATAGTGTTGGCTAAAAAGCCAATTGCCTAATACTTCTTTTTCTAATAAGATACAATATTGGGTTTTTTCTTTCTAATTTATACAAACCGAGTAGTTTTTTTTTTTTAATACTTAGTAGAGGTTTTTTTTGTTTTTTTGTAAGTTGTAATTTGAAGAATGCCAAGTACGTGGACTTCCCCCATCTTTTGCTTTTCTCAATTTCCTATCCTACTCATAACTGTTCCTTCTTTTCCTTCTCTTTCTTTTTTCTGCTTTCTCTTCTTCCTTTTATTCCTTGCCTGCCTCCCTAGCTGCTTCCCTGATTCCTTCCTCCCTGCTTCCCCACTTTTTCTCCCTTTCCTTCCTCCTTTCCTGCCTTCCTGCCTTGTATGCCTTGTCAGAATTTTTTGTGGCACTTAACTATCATTGAAATGACTACTTTTTAAAACCATCTTGGGAACTGGGTGAAGTAGCTGGTGCCCATAATCCCAGCTAATTAGGAGGCCGAGGCAGAAGGATAGCTTGAGGCCAGGAGTTTGAGGCCAGACTGGGCAGGATACAAGAACCCATCCCTCAGAAAATTTAAAGAATTTAAAATTATTGTATATGATGTGGACCACATCATAGTTAGAATATACTTCTTACCTAAATTATTATGAAGTAATCAGCTAAAATCTTAAACATTGATTTTTCTTTGTTGCTTTTGGATTTTAAAATTGTCAAGACTTATTCACGTTTTTGATTTAATAGCGATGAAAAGCTCAAGAAGTTCATAAAATTTGAGTTGTTTTTGATTAATAATTATTATAGCTATAATAAAAACTTTTTTTCTACTTACTGTTTTATGTGAAATACTTGGGATTAAACTGAAAACCCCTAATAGATTCTAGAATCAAACAGATGGGTGTTCAAGTCTTGGTTCTGACACTTACTAAATCTTTGACTTTGGGTAAATTATGTAATTGCTCTTTGTTTTCTCATCTGTAAAACAGGGATAATAATAACTATGTCATAGGGTTTATGTGAGGTTTAAATAATAGCTTGTTTATAAAGCCCTTGCATAGTGTTTAGTAGGGTTTAATAAACGGTAGTAGTTACTTTGACAAAAAAAGTATGAGGCCTAATTATATTGTGAAACTACCATTAAAATCAATTAACACTCCAAACAAATTTTTAAAAAGGTGTTTGGATTGCCTTTCTGTCCCCAAAGCTTGTTGACCTTTTACTTTTCAGTTAATTTATTATTGTCCTCTTGAGATTTACCCTGCAGGTCAGTGGTTTCTAAATGTTAAACTGTGGGTTGGTGCTGGTTAGTAAGAAAGTTTTCACTGGGCCTTGGTGAAATGGAAGAGTAGGCAGGACAATGTAATGATATAAAGTAAACCTTAACTCAGAGCTCAGAGCCTGCTCTTTTTAGTGTACTCGTGTGTGTGCGTTTATGTGTATTTCTGTAAACTTTCCCTTTTAGAATAGTGATACTAGTTGGGTCTTTTTGTTTTAAATAACTTTTAGAAATTAAAAGTTGGCAGTCCTGATATTTTCACAAAAAGTTGATGATATGCACTGAAATTATGATGTAGAAGCTCTAACCTTGTCAGTGTGTATGTTTCAGGCATTCATTTATTACTTAAAAGATTGTTACTTTGGAAGTACACTGCTTGCCTCCCTGATAACTTTAAGCAAATATTAATAGCTGATTAGCTATTGCAATTAATTAATTGTTTTTTCTTTTTTCCTCTGTCTAAAGAGGCTTTTAAAACTTGAGATAGAAATTCTGGATTACTTTATAGTCTTTCTAACCTTTTATACTTGTAGGTATAAAATGTTGTAATTTCACTGATTGGTGCCTCTAGGGACCTCAGTAGTTGGCTCATCATTTTACAGAAAGTCATTTCTATGTGACTATAAAGGAGAGGCTTATCTTTTGTATCAACTGTATTCTACAAAGCTGAGGCAAAGTAGCAGGAGGAAATAGGAATTTAGTATATTGGCCTAATTTTAAATTGTTGTTCCATATATGATCTAAAGGTTAGCGACATTATAGCCAAGATTGTTACCAGAATGATTTAAAGAAGATTATCGGTACTACTTACACCGTGATGGTAGTATGAGCACATAATTAAACATGATCGATTTTTGTCTAGAGTAGAAACATTGGCTTTTTATGTAAAGAGTTATCACAACAACCAGTAAGCCGATGGTATAATTCGCCGATGGAATAATTCTTAAACAGCTTGCACACTTTAAAATATTATTAAATTGGTAAGTCTAGGATTCTTGGATCGTTTTGATGAACAGTCAAGATTTATATACTGAATTATTTCATATTTTGATAGTGTTTATGTTCCCGTTGTATGACCAATGTCTTTGAGTTTCTAGTAGTTTAAGGGTTAAGTGATTATGTAGCAAGATCAAACTGGTTCATTCTCTAAAAATGTGTGCGCTACAAAATAGTCATTATAGGATGTGTAAAGTGCTACTTTAAAGTAGTATCATTAATATGTATCAGCTTGTATTGGTCATTAATAATAATCATTGTTTACTGGCTTTTTCTGTCTTTGAGGACCTTCTTGGACATCTCACCAAATCTTGTCCTACTTTTTACAGTTTTCTTTAAGATCAGTCTTTCTAGTACAACATGACATCATTGTACTTCTTTACATCCTGGTGTTAAACACTGAGAATTCAAAGCGAGATTCTGACTAGAATAGAGGTGAGAAAGAGAGGGATCCTAAGTTTAGGACTCCAAAAGTTTAACTTCTCCTTAATGGTGTAGTTGTTAACCTTCTAATATAGGTGATCTTAAAGGCATGAGCTTATTGTCTGTAATAACACTAGTATCGGTGTAACACAGGCAAGAAAGAATAGTCTGTTATGGTTTTGTTTTTTAGAGTAGTATCAGCTTAGTTAGTATGCTTGAGTTTATGCTTGTCAGCCCTATGTTGCAAGTAATAAGTTGAAGTTAGAGGGTGGTTGGCAATTGAAAGTGGCATATCTTTTTTCTCTGGTGTTCTAAAAGCACATGGATACAGGTGGACATAAGGATTAGTGAGTTGCAACATTCAGAATCCCATCACTGAACTTAAGCTATTTAGCATTTGATTAACTGTTGAAGGAAGGATGGAGAGAAATATGGAAAATGGGTAGGTGGGAGGGAGAAAAACTTTTATCTTGGGGTTACTGAAAAGTTTGATACTTTTTTTTTTTAAGCACCACAGAATTCTTATTGCATTCCCCACTGATCGCTTGCATTGCATATATATTTTGCTTCATGAAAAATCTTATTTTAGATATGTTTAGTTTTTTAAAGATTATCAGCATACAAAACTAAGGTAAAAGATAAAAAAAATTTCTGTAATGAAGCACATTTGCAGTTCAGTGTCAGTTGCTCATTTGTTTGTTTTGTCAGTAGGATGATTTTGTTAGGGAAAACCCAATCACTACAAAAAATGTGATACAGAAAACATTTTGCTTGCATAATTGGCTTTGTTTTTGTTTGGGGAATATACTGCATTTTCCATGCTATTGTCATCATTATTAAATAGCTATAAATGCAGAGTTATTAAATAATTGAGCTTTTTTCCATTTTGGTTTTCTCAGGATTCACTCCTTCTCCAGTTGCACAGCCACACCCTTCAGCTGGCCTTAATGTTGACTTTGAATCTGTGTTTGGAAATAAATCTACAAATGTTATTGTAGATTCTGGGGGTAAGAAAAAAATTATTGAAATATTATAATGTCCTAATCTGTTTAAGGAAAAATAATGCTGCTTTTTAAATGTTTAAGTACATTAAATTGGGGTAGCCAAAGAAATTGTCCCCACCCCCTCAGGCACTAGATGAGAACTTCAGGGAGCTGTTTAGTCATTATTCTTTTATTGGTGCCAATTTAGACACTGGGAAAATTTTGTTTTTCCTAGAGCAAAGTAAGAGAGAAAAAGAGATTTAGCTCTGTAGAATGCTAAGTTGCTAGTGACTATGTGTAGATGTTGTGCCTTTTTAGATATAGAATTTTTACCTTTACTGAAAGGAATGAAAACCTTATTCTATCTAAATATATGAAATTGACTGATTTAAATAGTCTGTGTATAAACAATTAGAATGTATTAAATGTCAGGCCTGTGAGTACAGGAGCTTGGTATTGTTTTATGAATGATTCTTATTAGGGTTCATTTGTCTTAAAGGAACTTTATAGACTAGATCTGTAGAGCCAGGTTTCTACTTTGTGTTTTTATTAATACCTTGTTAATTTGAAGTGCCTATAAAACTTTGACACTCATAATTCTGTTCTTACCATGGGATGGCCTTTGATTTTGGTTAGTAATTAACTTTTAGCTATTTAGAGAGAATATATTAAGATGTTCTTAATTTTATAACATAAAATTAGTTATCCTCTAAAAAGTAAGAAGCAAACTTATAAAGAATATTTATGGATTAAGAATTTATCTTTTTCTGTGTACTAGGAGGTTTATGATTATACTTTTTTGATGCATTAGATTTTAGTTTGTCTTGCCTGGGAATATAGACCAATCATTGTTATGAACTATCATCTTTGGTGACTTTATTTTTCAGATTCTAATATTCTTAGATCATACTTTTGAGTCCCATAGAGGGTTTATTTCATTGGATTTTCTTTTATTTTCTATCCTTGGGTGAGGAAAACTTAAAGAATTTTATTTTCATTTTTAAGAATTGACCTCATTTACTAGATGGACGCTTAATGCAATTACTGTGTTTAGCAGTTTCTTAGATGTGGTTCACTCTTACATTCTCTGCTTTTTAAAAAAAAAAGAGATCTATTAAATCTTATTTCTTAATGTAAAAGGAACTCTTTTCAAAGTTCCAGAGAGGTATTTTTTAACCTGTATTGCTTTAGATATAAGTGAGTCTTGGTAAAATTTTGCTGGGCAAGCAGGAGAATTACATTCCTTTTTTCCCTTTTATAATACTTCTCTCTTATCCCCTTTAACCCTAATGTAATTTTCTCATGAAATAAGAGAAATGATTTGTCAAAACAAATATAGCCTTCTCAGTCAGTTCACTATGAAGTGGTGAATTTCTCCATTTTCCACTTAAAGACATTTACTAATGTGTACTTTTTGGATAATTTTTCCAGTGAACAAACAAGGAGAAAAGGCAGAGACCTCCTTTAGAAAGCCATAGCATCATAAAGTTCCTTACAAATTCTATTTCATCTGTTTGTAACTTTAAGGCTTTGATGAACTAGGTGGACTTCTCAAACCAACAGTGGCCTCTCAGAACCAGAGTCTTCCTGTTGCCAAACTCCCGCCTAACAAGTTAGTATCTGATGACTTGGATTCATCTTTAGCCAACCTTGTGGGCAGTAAGTAGTCTTTGGATACTTTAATCTTCTTTTATGGTTTTTATTAAACTGAGTCTAGTGTTATAAAATGCTTTCTTTTTCTCCTTTTCTAGATCTTGGCATCGGAAATGGAACCACTAAGAAGTGAGTTTTTAATACACACTTTTTTTTTTCCATGTGTCATTTAGAGGTTGATTTGGCTTTTGTCTCAAAAATATGTATAGAGATGTCAAGTCTGCTTGTGTGTGTGTGTGTGTGTGTGTGTGTGTGTGTGTGTGTGTGTGTGTCACAGTGTGTCACAGTGTGTGTGTGTGTGTGTGTGTGTGTGTGTGTGTGTGTGTGTGAGAGACACAGTCTCACTCTGTCGCCCTGGCTGGAGTGTAGCGGTGCAATCTTGGCTCACTGCAACCTCCACTGCCCAAGGTTCAAGCAGTTCTCCTGTTTCAGCCTCTCTAGTAGCTGGGATTATAGGCACGGGTCACCAAGCCCGGCTAATTTTTGTATTTTTAGTAGAGATGGGGTTTCACCATGTTGCCCAGACTGGTCTCAAACTCCTGACCTCCGCTACCTTGGCCTCCCAAAGTGATGGGATTACTGGCATGAGCACCGCCCCCAGCCTCAAGTCTGCATCTTCAGTACTCTGTTCATTAGAAATATATAGTTAAGGAAACGTTATAATTAGAGACTTTTAATATTCTCACTTATGTTTATTTAAAGTGATGTAAATTGGAGTCAGCCAGGTGAAAAGAAGTTAACTGGAGGATCTAACTGGCAACCAAAGGTTGCACCAACAACGGCTTGGAATGCTGCAACAATGGTGAGTTGAAAAAGCTCCTGATACCCTAACACATGAATAATTTAGTTAAATATGTAACATGAAAATGTTTTTAAAGTGATAGGCATAAATTGTTACCGAGTTTTAGAAGTATAAGTAATTTGTACTTCTGTTAAAGCAAGCTGGTTGCCTGTATTTGCCGGGTACATCTTAATGGCTAACATGTATTTAAGGATTACTTTGTGCCAGGCATCATTCCAGTAAATGATAATGCAGTTTTATTTTGGATAATTCTCTTGTTAACCCATGTGCTAGTAACTATTATAATCCCCATTTTACAGATGAGGAAGTGGAGGCACAGAGTTATTAACTAATATGCTCAGGATTACAGAGATCTTAAATGATTAGTTGGATTTTTAGAACCTAGGCAGCCTAACTGTAGAACATATGTCCTTAATTACTACTCTGTATTACTGACCTCAAATTTTTTATTTATTTGTCTAAAATACAAAATTTTCTCATTTCATTAGTGGTAAAGAAACTATACTTGCTCGGATTTTGCCATGTAATTTATATAAATGACAATATATTTGACAATTATATATATGTCATATAACTTATACAGTTGATTCTCATTATCTGTGGCAGTTAAGTAATTAAAGTCACCCCAAACACTGTATTAATGAATGCCGAACCCTCTCTACGGGAAATACATACATATATGCATATGTCACATAGATGATCATTTTAGAAAACCTCGTTCTAGTAGATTCTTTTTTTTATTTATTTTACGAAAGAGGAAATAAAGTTCAGAAATATTAAGTGACTTGCCTACAACTGTTGCACTAACTGGTGCCAGAGTTGGAATTTTAGCCCTGTCCAACTGGCCTCAGAGTCATAGTTTCTTGCAGTATGATGGACTCCCCATCCCCCTTCTCTATCCTTTGGTCTGGGGTGAGAGCTGGGCCAAGGCAGAGTGTCCTTTGTTCCATCTCAGATGGAAGTAAACTGTATTGGATGAATCAGACTTTTGCCACTCTGCAAATGAGCATGAATGGCCTCGAAAGCACCAAGAGTATTGATTTTTGGTGTCACAAAATTTATCAAGCAGGTGATTTTACAGATATGAAATCCATGAATAATGAGGATTAACTGTTTTTGCTAATGAAATGATTAGCATCTTGTAATGAAGAGGTTTTTAGTAATGTTTTTAATTACAGTAAGATACGGTAGGCCCAGAATAGCTTTATGGCTATTCTTCTGTCCTTGGCCAGTTTCTGTCTTACCAATCCAACAAATCTTCATCAGTCAATGAAAACTGCTTCTTGTGGAAAAGTTTGAAACATTCGTTCTTCAGACAGTAGGCTAGTAGCTGTGTTTTAATCACACGGACTGCACATTTCTAATAGCTTTGTTATTACTGTTAGAGGCCACCATTGTCCTTTTAGCCACTTGCAGAGCACTGCCCTGTTTTCTGTGGGTTAATGATAGGTTAAAATTGGTACAACTGAACTAAAAATAGTATGTTTATAAAAAATTGTGCATTTTATCATATAGCTCAGACTTTATAAATGGAAAGTAATATTGTGATTTAGCTACCTTTTTAAGGCAGTAATTTTTTTTAATAGATAGTGTTCACTACCATCACTAATTTTATGATTTTGTATTTATTAATTTTTTTGAGATGCAGTCTTGCTCTGTTGCCCAGGCTGCAGTGCAGTGGCTTGATCTCAGCTCACTGCAACCTCCATCTCCTAGGTTAAAATGATTCTCCTGCTTCAGCCTTCTGAATAGCTGGGATTACAGGGACCCACCACCATGCCCAGCTAATTTTTGTATTTTTAGTAGAGGCGGGGTTTCACCTTGTTGGCCAGGCTAGGATTACAGGCATGAGCCACCTCACCCAGCCTAACATCACTGATTTTAAAACTTTGCATTTAAATTGTTTAGATTTTTAGACACAAAATCTTAAACCTGTAAATGTTGCTTTCTTGAGGGCATTGGAGGAGATAGCACCCCACTTTTAAAGATAAAGCTCTGTGAGATTTTTTTTTTTCCCTAAGTGCAAAGCAGTTGAAAAGCAGATTTAAGTTGAAATTCATCTCTTTGACTCTAAATCCAGCCTCCTTTCCACTATAACACACTTCACTGACTAGGGTATGATAGGAGTTTAGAGTAGTGGATTTTATGGTCTTGTGTGTGAATTATGACATTGATGATGTGTGAGAAATGATATAAATACCAATGCTGACATTAAAATATAGTGAATATTTTCTTGTTTTATATTGTTAGTATTAATCTATGTACAATATTAGTTTATAGATAGCATTTAAGATTGACTACTAAAATAGGTAGCCATTTAGAATTTGTATTTAAGTTGATAAGATAGCAGTACTTATCTTGCTGTATTATATATGGTAATGTGTATCATCTCCTAAGGATTTCGCTAAAATCTTTGTATGTATTTTATGGAGTTTTTAATGGGTAATGTTTGGGGCTGATCATGTGATTCACAACTTAAGATAAACTGCTGCTTTTGACATTTCTTTACATTTCTAACCTTTTTATTAATCCTTAAACACTGTCAAGGTTTTTCAGTGTTTTTTTAATTTAACACAAATTCATTGGAATTTTATTAAAATATATATTATACTACAAATTCTTTTTTTTTTTTTTTTTGAGACGGAGTTTCACTCATGTTCCCCAGGTTGGAGTGCAATGGCGCGATCTCGGCTCACCGCAACCTCCGCCTCCTGGGTTCAGGCAATTCTCCTGCCTCAGCCTCCTGAGTAGCTGGGATTACAGGCACGCACCACCATGCCCAGCTAATTTTTTGTATTTTTAGTAGAGACGGGGTTTCACCATGTTGACCAGGATGGTCTCGATCTCTTGACCTCGTGATCCACCCACCTCGGCCTCCCAAAGTGCTGGGATTACAGGCTTGAGCCACCGCGCCTGGCCTACAAATTCTTTTAATTAATGCTTGTTTTTTTTCCTGTGGTAGACATCTGATGCAACCCTGTGGATGGGATACCCAAAATTTTGCACTGTTGACATTATTGATAGAATTGATGTTTTAGTGATACTTATAATCAATAAACTGTTTTTTGTATAAAGAAATGAGGCCAAAGACTACCTTTCCCTTGTCAACCTTGATAGTGTTTTAGTATAGATGTTCTTTCATTAGATACAAGGGATTTTAGGTAGTTAGTGAATGTACATGTGAACTAAAATACTCTCTGTGTATTTTCTGTTGTGTAAGTACTTGTTCTAATCCAGTGTTATTGCATTATGTAATTGTTCTCCCTGGGAAAAACAGAATGGCATGCATTTTCCACAATACGTAAGTGACCAAAAACTAGCCTTTTTGCAATAAATTGGCATGCTATTAACCACTGCTGTAGCAGAATCTCATAACCTTTCAGCTATTACTTGTTTTCACATTCAGATTTTCAATATGCCAGAAATTCTTCCTAGCATCTACTGATTTCATGGGTGTGTTGTAGAATTGATTCTGATGGTGGCATGGGAAATACCGATTTTTTTTCTTGCTTACTATTCCGCCATTTGCTGCCAGATGGCTGGGTGTCTGTGTGTGTATCTTGTGCTGCCACTATGCACTTGATGACTTCTGAATGAAGGGAAATGTTGATTGTGGTAATGTTTAAAATAACAACTGCATGAAATCTTACAGGCTTCTGCTATTCTTGGCAGTTTGTCTACTGCTCTTGCAGATCTTCGTTTTTAAGTAGGGAGAGACCAATAAGCCCTACACGCTCACCCAAATACTAAACATAACTATTCACTTTAGTGTTATTTTTTAAGAGTTATATTTCATTTAACTTCTCCATGCATATGTTCAAATTGCCATATAATTTCAGTTATTTTATGTTTTAGCAGTGTTATTGGTCTTTCACCTGTATTCAATTTCAGTTTTCATTATGAGAAACACAGGAAATGTTGTTAAGACAGCAACTATATCTAAAACGATTCTGTTCTCAAATTGTATGTTTACAGATCATCAAAGTGGTAGGAAGAGGGGAACTTAAACATCTTAGTGGTTGGTAGATGGTTCTTTTAAACATGAAAGCATAAACTGACCTAATTGATTGCTACTCTTAAATAATTTTTGTAATAAATTAGAAAGAAAGCTAACATACACCCTCTATATAAGAACTCTGGTTCATAGAAATAGTCATACTCAATAGTAGTTTGAAACCTTTGGAGTTCTTTGAAAAGAGTGAGTGAGGTCCTTAGAAAGTAACTTTTTGAAAGATTAGGTTATTAATTGATTTTAGATTTCTACATTTTTTTCTTTGAATGCTAAAGAAAACAGGTACCTAACTAAGAAAACATTCGATAATACTTTTTCTTGGTAAACATTTTTTATGATAGTGGTAACCTTTAAATTTTAGAACTACTGACGATATTTTTTGAAATCTAAAGATTTTTAAAGCTGTAAAAAGCATGATAAAATCTTAGATCACTGCTGTATCTAAGTGGTATATTTTCCCTTCTAATAAATCTGCTTTTCTGCTAATTTTGAGACACTTTTTTTCACTGACCATTAATTGACAGTTCTTAATGATCACAAGTGTCACTTACTCACAGCTGTCTTAGCAATTCTTTTTAGTGGAACTACAGCTACTAATTACTTGAACTCAGTTGACACACATGAGTTATACTTTTTTTTTATTTTTCCTTTCACTATGTTAGGCACCCCCTGTAATGGCCTATCCTGCTACTACACCAACAGGCATGATAGGATATGGAATTGTAAGTATTTTCCCAGGTACAGCTTTTGTTAAAAAAAAAAATATATATATATATATATATGTGTATATATATATATATATATATTCATATTTAACATACTTTCATTAGAATTTAATCTAAAAAAGAATTTAGTGCTCCTCATATCCCTAGCCCTAGTACCTATCAGAGTGGAACCATAGCATTGGTTTCATAAGTATTTCTAGAATAATCATTATACTAGAGATCTTATGCATTAATGTTCATATTATTACTTGGTTTATTTTTCTCCTCGTAACTTGGCTGACCATTTTATATTTCAAACATTAATGTTAATTCTAAGCCTTTGTTGCTGTGACTATATGTTAAATACCAGTGAGGTCTTATAACCTTAATATTGTAGGGCATGGGAGGGATTAATTCTTGAATTGTATAGAGGTAAATTTAAGTCTGATAAAGGCTAGAGAAATTTTCCTATGACAATAATTATTACATTACAAAAAACAGTCTTTTAGCCTTTCAAAATGCCACAATGTGCATGTTAGATTGCCCTTACTTTTCCAACTCTCAGTGTATAGAGACTCACTTAGATAACAATTGGTGCTAGTGGGTTCAACCCGCTGGTATAATGTATTTGAGGAACTTTTCCTGGAAGAAGCCAACACTATGTTCCTTGTCTTGCTACTGTGCCTGCTATGTTACTTCTTTATATATATGATATGGAAGTAACTCCTTTCATAATGTGGAAAAGTTTCACAGCTTTTTTCCACAGGTCATTGCATTAAAATGTCTGATGAGGTCAGGTGCAGTGATGTATGCCTGTAATCCCAGCACTTCGGGAGGCCAAGGTGGGCGGATCACCTGAGGTTGGGAGTTCGAGACTAAAAATACAAAAATTTGCTGGGCGTGGTGGCACGCACCTGTAGTCCCAGCTACTAGGGAGGCTGAGGCAGGAGAATCACCTGAACTCGGAAGGCGGAGGTTGTAGTGAGCCAAGATCGCATCACTGCACTCTAGCCTGGGTGACAGAAAGAGACTCCATCTCAAAAAAAAAAAAAGTCTGCTGAGAAACTCAGTCCGTAAACTTAAAACGAAGCTCTAAATGCAAATAGTAGTCTACTTGAAACGATAGTAGAACTTCTTTAAAAGAAACATTTTAAAGCATTGCAATTTAACTAAAACATGAGTCTGTATCTGTATTATTTTTACACTAGGTATTGTCACTTAGTAGGTTAATTTTATACACTGTAACGGTGATTTTTAAAGAAACATTTGGTTGAGATTCTATTTTCAGTTACTCAAGAAGGAATTAACCTCTGCTGTGTAATTTGAGCTCTGTCTTGATTCTTACGTCAAATAAAATGGAAGAACTAGAGCAGGCTTATTCAAAGAATCAACTGTCTTCACTTGTGATCACTTGCATAATGGCATAAGAACTTGATTTATACAAAGGCAATTTACTTTGAAATATCTTAGCAGCAAAGACAAAGTCTTAAGTTTTTTTAATGTCTAAACCTGACAAATTTGCAAATTTTAGAAGGCTCTGAGTCTAAATTATTTTATCTGTTGTACTACAGTAAAGTTTAAATTTTGCAACTTATTGAATAGAAAAAGTTAGGCTTTGTTACCACATTTTTAAAATGAGCATGTTAAAGACTTTACATACCAAAAGAAAAGAAAAATACTCTTGAAAGTTTGTAGCTATTAGTCTTACTTATATTCAGAGGAATATGTTTTGAGTCAAGCAAAGATACTAGGACCTGTCATCCCGGTTGTCATTGTTATTTACTTATAAGGAAGATGAGAGTCAATATCTTTTAACCTGGTATTTCTCATTTTTTAGCCTCCACAAATGGGAAGTGTCCCTGTAATGACGCAGCCCACCTTAATATACAGCCAGCCTGTCATGAGACCACCAAACCCCTTTGGCCCTGTATCAGGAGCACAGGTATTATACACTACATGTAACTGTGGTAATGTGCTTGATTTTGAAGGAATATGATACTAAAAAAACCCTTTTACACAACTTGAGAAACAAGTTACTAGCACTTTTCTTCTTCATTATGGATATTGCTTGCATCATATCTTTCTTATATAAGAGCTTTTAGGAATATTGATTATTTGGAGGAAAAGGATAAGTAGATAGCAAATACTAAAGATGGAAAATTCTTGATGACTTACAGTTGGTGGATCCAGAGGATGATTTTTCTGAGATTAAGGAGCCTTCTTCTTCTTCATGATTCTGGCATTACTATCCTTTGTTAACCCCTCAAAACCATTAACTCAAGAGCTTTATAGTTCTTGGCTAATGGCTAGAATGATGCTACAGCAGGGTATGTTGGGAAACTCTTGGCAAGTCTCCACAAAGTTTTGGATATTATTTTTTCATTAGAAAACTTTCTGCCACTGAGGATTGGGTTCAAAAACAAGCCAATAAGAGGAGTCAAGAAGCTTGAAATGTCATGCTAAACCAGATTGTTTAATCCAGTGACTTTCCTCTTGTTTCTAAGGCTTTTCTCTCCCAGTTCCTAAAAATAAACCATAAGTATACATTGTTTTTTATCCCATTATTGTTGCATTAGGATAATCTGATTTTTTTATTTTTAAGGTTTTACCTGTTACGGTTAGAAGAAATAGGATATTCCTTTGTTATTCACATCTCTGGTGGCATATTCTGGGATGAGGCCCTTGTGAAGTGATAGGATGGCTTATCCTTCTCTGCCTGCAGCTCTACTCATACTGTTTGACACTAAGAAATAGTTAATTAAATGCAATTGTTAGAACACTCTTCCTTTTCTCAAATGGTTTCTAATGCTAACCAGTTGGTTACTGTATGTGTTTAATGCTTATTTGAAAACACTTGAATGAGCATTTGATTAATGGACTTGTTATTCCCCTCCCACTTGAAAGCATATGTGTCACATTTGCCAAAGCATACAGTCTTCCATTGCCACAATTAGTTTATTTAATCCAATTTGAATCTAGTCTCTACACACAGTAGTCCCCTCTTCTCTTTGGGGGTTATGTTCCAAGACCCACAATGGAAGCCTGAAAATGGGATAGTACTGACCCATATATATGCTATATATACATAACTATGATAAAGGTTAATTTATAAATTAAGCACAGTAAGAGAATAATGAATAATAAAATAGAACAGTAACAATACACTATAATAAAAATTGTATTAATGTGTGCTGTTGCTCATAGACATGCTTGCTCTCTCCATCTCTGCCTTTATCTCTCTTGAACTGTCTTATTATCCTCTACTTACCTATATTCATACCATGATTCACTTTGGGTAACTGAAACCACAGAAAGTGAAACTGTGGACTGTATTTCATAGACTAGTTAAGCATAGGCAATCCTTTCATATTTCAGCCTTTTAAAATATGACATCTCTTAATAAATTGATAACTGTTGGCTGAGAGTAGGTAGTGAATTTAGTTCTGTTTTAAGAGGTAAAATTCATGTTGGTTGCAATTAATACATTTACCCATGTGCCTTTCTTTTTTGTCACCTCCCTTTATCCATGTTAAAAATGACTGTTTTCTTGTTCTTTAATCAGTTAAGTATTTACAGTGACAATTGAAAATAGCTTAGAGTCAGGGTAATTGACACAGTCATACTTTTATGTCAGTTTTTATGCATTCATTTTTATAAAAGACTATGAGTATTTATAGTAACCACTGCTGAACTTTTTACCAGCAGTATTCCGATTACAGGTTTAACTTGATAACCTTTAAAGAAGTATACTGATAATTTCCCTGTCTGTTGCAGATGTTTTCTTGATATACAATTATGTCTTTTTCATGTCCTTTGGTTTTTTGTACATTTAACTTCAGATATGTATCATTTACTTTAAAAATTAATTTTTTTTTTACTATAAGAAACTAAGTGATAGAAACCTAAACGTATTTAAGTAATTTTTTTAAAGCTGTAGTCCATGCTAAAGACTTAGTAGAGACCTTGACTTCAGAAGTTTTTTTCCTGATATGTAGTTAAACCCTTCACCCAAAATGCATCTTGATTTGCTGGCTCTTGTCAGAATATATTGCTACCATAAGCTTGGATACTATCAGACAATTTCCAATTACTTTCACATACATTATTTTACCTGATTCTTTTAAGTTGGATGGGTCTTCTGTCACCGTCACATTTTATAGGTAAAGAAAACAGACCTGGAAAGGTTCTTCAACTAATTAAGTGGTGAAATCAACTTATCCCCAGGTGTCTCTGATTCCTAGTCCAGTGTTCATTTTTACCACTGTCTTCTAGTGGGACTGAGCCCTTAATGGCCAATACAGTAGCACCATCTTCTTTTGTCAGCAATGAACACACTGCAGATTCCTTAGGTTTTTCTGCTAGATTGTAAACCACATTTACACATTCACGGTGTAACTACTGTAGTTGTAAAGAATATCCTCTACAATTTTGGGTAATACCTTCAACCTGGAAACATTGTGTATGAGTTTTGCTTTTTTTTTTTTTTTTTTTTTTAATGTCAGCAAAAGTCTACCTTTAAAAAATTGCTTGTTGGCTGGGCACGATGGCTCACACCTGTAATCCCAGCGCTTTCGGAGGCCCAGGTGGGTAGATCATCTGAGGTCAGGAGTTCAGCCCAGTCAACATGGTGAAACCCTGTCTCTACTAAAAATACAAAAATTTGCTGGGCATGGTGGCACACACCTGTAATCCTAGCTACTCGGGAGGCTAAGGCAGGAGAATTGCTTGAACCCAGGAGGCAGAGATTACATTGAGCCAAGATCGCACACGTAGCACTCCAGACTGGGTGACAGGAGCAAAACTTCATCTCCAAAAAAAAAAAAAAAAAAAAATTGCTAGTTGACTAGCATCTGCTCTTGTTTTGTTTTGTTTTGTTTGAGACAGGGTCTCTCCTTGTCACCCTGGAGTACAGTGGTATGATCTTGGCTCACTGCAACTTCCACCTCCCAAGTTGAAGCCATTCTCCTGCCTTGGCCTCCTGAGTAGCTGAGATTACAGGTGTGTGCCACCACACCTGGCTAATTTTTGTATTTTCTGTAGAGATGGAGTTTTGCCATGTTGCCCAGGGCGTTCTTGAACTCCTGAGCTCTAGCAATGCACCCACCTCAGCCTCCTAAAGTGCTGGGATTACAGGCGTGAGCCACCGCACTCAGCCAGCATCTGTTCTTAACCTAGGTTTTATGTTCTGTTGCCTTCTAAAACCCACATAACCCTTTCACAGAAACACCAGAAAGTGCCAGAATTGCCTTGTACATGAGAAGAAACAGACAGAAATACCTTTTCCTAATTACTTTTTATCTTTAAGTTTCTATTTGAGAGATAAAATTTGGAATGAGTACTTAAGTATTACTGAAAAAGCAAATGAAGCAAATTGATAACTAGAAAAATAAAATCAGGCAGCAGTGAAATGGCTCAAAGAAGCTTTGGTCTCTCAACATAGGCATCTGAGTCATTTGAAAGTCAGAATCTTAAATTTGTTAATGTTACTTTTAATTCTTTTTTGAATTCCTTTGTTCTCCATGTATCTAATCACAAAGTCCCACTAATTGTTCCTCTGTTATAATTAGATCCACCCTTCTCCTTGCATTCTACAAGTTTCACCCAATCTTAGAACCTCTTTATTCATGCTTGTTTTGCAATAGTCACCGGTATTCTCTGCCTCCTCTATTTAATCCTTTCTGTGTAAATACTGGAATAATCTTCTGTAGGCAGTATTTGTAGTACCTATCTCCATAATCAAACATTTAAGGAGGTGAATCTTTTTTGTGTGTGGGTGACAGAGTCTCACTGTGTCCCCCAGGCTGGAGTGCAATGGTGCAGTGTCGGCTCACTGCAACCTCCACCTCCTGTGTTCAAGCAATTCTCCTGCTTCAGCCTCCCCAGCAGTTGGGATTACAGGCACACAGTACCATGGCCAGCTAACTTTTTTTTTTTTTTTTTTTTTTTTTTTTTTTATTTTTAGTAGAGATGGGGTTTCACCATGTTGGCCAGGCTGGTCTCAAACTCCTGGCCTCAAGTGATCCGCCCACCTGGACCTCCAAAAGCGTTGGGATTACAGGTGTGAGTCACTACACCCAGCCTGAGGAGGTGAATCTAAATATAACTGAACATTTAAAGCTTTTTCATAGGTTTCCACTCATCTTAAAACTACCTTATGAAGTCTCCTTATTTATAAGAGTAATAATGAGTTAACAGAATATTAAACTTCTTCAATTCTATACTTTTACAATTCTCATTAAGTATCCAGTGTTCTGCTGTTATTTTTCTTTTCCAAAAGTCCTTCACCTGCCAAGAAGTGGCTTTACTCTTTGTCCAGTCTTCAGTCATCTCTTGTCCCTTTCATATCCTGATGAGATCTGGAATTCTTTTCCTTATTCTGCATTATTTTTTTGTACAGACCATGTGACTACCTGGCATCCATCCAGTCTAGCAAGGGACTTCTTTACTAAACTATAAGCTTCATTCATGAAGGCAAGCTTCTCTGTGGCATGTTTACTTCTCTGTCCCTAGTTCCTAGAACAGTGCCTGACATACAGTTTTTGGACATTATTTGTTAAATAAATGAATCACCTTGTAAGCTTACCTTTTTCATCATATAACTTAGTCTGCCCCTCCTTCATCTCTCATTTCAGTTACTTGTTACCATTATAATAACTTACAGTGGTGTTCAAAATTGGTTTAATTTATTGGCTAATAGCTATGGTGAGCCAAAACGTTAAAAGGCTAACCTGAGGAATGAAGACAGCTTTAACTTCATGCTTGAATAATTTTAATAATTAAAAATTAAATTATTGGCTGAGTACAGTGGCTCATGCCAAAATATTAGCACTTTGGGAGGCTGAGGCAGGAGAATCACTTAAGTGCAGGAGTTCAAGACCAGCCTCAGCAATATAGTGAGACCCTGTACCTTTATTTTTTTAAAAAGAAAAGAGTTAAACTGTTTATCTTTGAATTGGATGGGGTTTTTCTCATGCTTTAATGTGTCTCTTGGATTAATTTTGTCCATAGAATGCTAGCTGAAACCACAATAGTTTTTCTTAATGAATTACGTTTTAATTGTTCTTTCATTGTTTTGTTCTCTTTTTTCCAATTGGATTCAGAAATCATTGAGGGCAGAGACCATCCATGTCTTTGTATGGGGTAAAGTAAATGGTAGTTTAAAGGAAAAATGAAATTCCATCAAAATAAAATGTTTTAATCAAATCTCAGTTCTACAACTATTCCCAAAAGTTCTTCCTTGCTCCTTGAAGTGTTTGTTTTGAGAACTGTTACTCACCTAAAGTATAATTTGTAGCTTTTGGTCTCTTGCCTGATTACTATTAAATCAAGTTAACGTTTTTGAGAGAATCCTAGCCCGCTCAGATACCTTTATCATGTTGCCATTTAGTGAGACATTCCAGTATGTTGTTTGTTTTAAATTTTTTCTGAGTTACTCTGAGCACTGCATTAGTGCTTGTTTTTGAGAAAGCACTTAACACCTTGCAGATGGCTGTTAGCTCAGACATGATTCAGTTCTTCAGGAAATTGTCATTTTGGCTTTAATTTAGTAGACTGCATTGTAGCTTTGAACTTAGGAATTCCTATCCACATACCCTTTTCTCCCCCCCCCCCTTTTTTTTGTACTGGGTAATTTTTCTGTAATTTTTAGATATTTTCATGGAATTGTTGTTTAAAAATGGATATTACGTCTTTATGTTCGTGCCTAACACTGTAGCCATCTTTAGTATGTTGTTCTACATTAGCGTATCTTCCTAGATGTTTAACTTCATGGAAAATTCTAGGTCCTTGTGGTTTTCCTTTGGTTTCTCTTCCATGCTTCCTCCTGGCCTTACTGTTTGGTTGCTTCCTACAGATTGCTAGTGTGTCTGTTTATTAACCTGGGGAGAAAGGGGACTCCTGCTTTCTCTTACTGGTGCTTTATATAAATTGAAATCTCCATTGCTCACCAGTAGTTCTAAACTCATTCTATAGTTGCAATATGCAGCTATTATATTACTAAGCATGAAGACAACTTTAACCTAGCTTTAATTTTCTTTTGAAAGTCATTGTGATACGAAATAACACTTTTTAAATGAATGCTTATATGGGAGTTTAGGTATTTGTGAAGCTCTTTGATGGTGGGGAGGGTCGTTGTTATCTTATTTCCTTATATGAAAAAGTCCCACTGATCACATATCAATCCGCCTGTTTTCCCAAAAGCAATATGAAAAATATAGAGTATTACCTTTGGGCATTTAATTTTAAAATTAAGCATATTAAAGGTTTTGTTGGTTTCTTTTTTGTTGTTTTTGTTTGTTTTATTATTACTATTATTGTTATTATTATTATTATTATTATTATTATTGAGATAGGGTCTCACTCTGTCACCCAGGCTGGAGTGCAGTGGCAAGAACATGACTCACTTTAGCTTCAGCCTCCAGGGTAGCTAAGACTGCCGGCACACACCACCATGCCTGGCTAATTTTTAATTTTTTGTAGAGAGAGTGTACATCAGACTGGTCTTGAATTCCTGACCTCAAGCAGTCTTTCCACGTTGGCCTCCCAAAGTGCTGGGACTATAGGCATGAATCACTGGACCTGGCCAAGTTTTATTGGTTTCTTGACTGGTATTAGGCCTTTTTTTAAAAGGAGGACTGCCAGTTTTGTTTATGGAGGATATGGTTAAAGATGCAAAATGGATGCTGTTTTTTGTTGTTTGCAGTGGCTAATTTTAAATAAGTCTGACATCAGTTAAGTGTCTAAAAGGAAACAATGGCTTGTTGTGAGTGCTTTTTATCCTTCTAAATGGGAGCACTGTTGCCTTTAGATATTCTAATAATTTAAGTCTTAGAAAAAAAAATAGCCTTTTAAATTGCTTTCTTGTATTTAAGAACTAGTGGCTGCTTTTAGGCTTCATTTTGGTTTTGTTTTTTGGGTTTGTTTGTTTTCTTCTTTCGTGCTGTGTTAATTGTACATATTGGCAGTACTTCTTTTGTCAGCGGATCTGCCCAGCTGGATTTCTGTGAGGAAGGCCTTTTGCCTTGTCAGCAGTGTGTTGTGCTCATTCATCCTTGCCTGCTACAGAATGCCATGAGGGAAGTTTCTTTGGGGATTGGGATATGGTACATTGGTGAAAACTAGTTTTGTAGCTCCCACTATACACTTGAATCATTCAGAACAGAAATGCTGGGAGTCTCATCTGCTGACCACTATTGCTAACAAGACCAGACCTTGCTTATTACTTGGCTTTTGCTGAGAACATTCTTGAAAAGGTAGAAATCTCATTTCTTGTCTTATTAAAGAAAACCAGAAAGTGTTCTTAAAATTTTGAATGCCTGTGAAGTTCTGCAGAATCTTCATGACGAACATCAGTGAAATGTACAGCACTGTGTCTACAGAAAGCATGGGAATGTATTATCTCACGTTTACCAGAAAAGTTCCTTTAAAAAATTATTTCTCTACTCCCATTTTAACTTTTTCCTGTAAATTCAGTATAACCATAAATTCTAGTTGAATTAAAATTAACTGGGATAGCAGAGTTTGGAGAGGAAAAAAACCACCAGCCTTAGAACCAGCAGATCTACATTAGAGTTTATGTTATAGTTTCCTAGGACTGCTGTAACAAAGTACCACAAACTTCATAGCCTAAAGTGACAGAAATTTGCTCTCTATCACTTCTGGAGAAATCAAGGAATCAGCAGAGCCATGCTCCCTCTGAGTTTTCTAGAGGAGGGGCCTTTGGCTTTTCCAGCTTTTGGTAGCCCCAGTCATTCCATAGTTTACAGCTGTAGCCGTTTAATTGCGACCTGTCACATGGTATTCTATGTGTCTCTACGTCCATGTGCCTCTCTTTATAAGGACACTTATCAAGTTAGGGCCACTCCAATGACCTCATTTTAACTTGATTACATCTATAAGACCCTATTTCCAAGTAGGGTCAAATTTATTGGCGCCTGGGGTGTTAGGACGTCAACACATATTTTGCGGGGGTCACAATTCAACAGTCTTTACTTCTCAACTAACCATGTGTTAAGGGAAAATTCTCTGTGTAACTTTTTTTTTTTTTTTTTTGGGACGGAGTTTCGCTCTTGTTACCCAGGCTGGAGTGCAATGGCGCGATCTCGGCTCACCGCAACCTCCGCCTCC